CTTTTTTCTGCTAAATGCCACTAGTTATGCAACCAAGAAGGTAAAGAAAAAAGAAGGAAAGCAAATTCCAAGAAAACCCAAAAGATATTCGAGAGTTATAGGCTTAACATTCAACAAATTTACTTTAATTTCAATATCAAGCACAAGTTCAATCATTCAACATCAGGGCAAAAACCATTAAGTTTTACAACACAGCAAGCTTAACCGTAGGCCAATAGCTCTTGATTACTGCCCCAGCTCCTAGAAATTATAAAAGTCAATCATGCAATATTTTTTGGCACAACCAATTTCTCAGGGACGGATCCAGAGACAAATTCTGGGAGGGAAATTCAAAATGTTTTGGTCGGTGTTCTATAACAAGTTTTCTAAAATATCACAGGCTCCACTCAGCTCATACTGCGATACCATTTTATTCGCTTTAATGATTATCCGAAAATATTTTTGCTTGAAAGTTTCTTCACAAGTTAAAATTAATAGTTACTGGAAAATTTTGGAAGGGGGGAATTTCCCTCTCCGCGGATCCGCGCCTGAATTTCTACACACTTATCAATATAACTGCACAGCCTTGCATTTCAAATTAATAAAGAACTGTATTATACAAGTTATGTATACACATTACTGTATACTGTATTACACATTAATCATGTTTACGCAATGTAAGAGGATCTTCGTGGAAGGTGAGGGGGGCCGTGGCCCTCGTTGCTTAACGCCTTGCTTATAAAATTAATATTCAAGTTGTTTATCTCGCTGGATTAATTTGCGTCTCGCATTAACAGTTTGGATTCTTTCCGAGCCCACTGCCCCCTCCCTCCTCCGACGAGTGTATTGTGTTAACAGACACACTTCACTGCAAATAAAATTAGAATGTTCGAATTCGTGAAGCCTCATTAACGAGTCCAAATAGCTATTATTTACGGAATCAATAGTACAAACACTTATGATAATTTCCAGCGTAAGATTTCACGAAGGTACGGTACAGGTTTTAGAGCACTCTACTTGCGGGACGTGAAAGAACACGAAAACAATGTTGCTCACTAATCTGACCATTTTTTTTTTTTCGATCTAGAATATGTTTGTCTGCTCTAAAAGGTAGTTGTAATTGACGATGATTTTGCGTTTTATTAGCAAACCTGTTGAAATGCTTTTATAAGTTTCATTACAGTACAAAAAGTGCATAAATACAACCAGACGTCAAAACAACGGGGTCATTCATCGGATGCGTACTCCCTAGTCAGATATGAAATGCTCATTTATTCTGCCCACGATTCGTGGCGATATGCTCCGTTATGCAACCCAGAACACTCTTGTTTTCTCCGAATACAAATTATTTTTGAAATTAGAAGCGATAACATCAGGCCAAGACACCATTTGGAATAATTCTCATTTACACAATCTTAAACTCATTGAGAGCGTCGGATTGGAATGATACTGATAGGATACTAAACCCTCATCAAATACATAACAATGTTTCTGTGAATTCGCACAATCGAATAAACAGTGCATATATGACGGGATTTGTTGCGAAAATGTAAAACGCGGGAATAAGATTTCATTCTGAACATACAGAGTTCAGTACGAGAAAAATCAGAGCAAGTAAATGACAGGGAAACTAAATTCCAGGGAAGTAAAAGTGGAGTTAGGGTTCATCCATAAATTACGTAACACTAAAGAAGAGGGGTGTTTGAGGAAGAGCTACGCCGCGTTATAATACCTGGGGACGGGGGGGGGGGGTGTTTAGTGTAACGTTACGCAGTTAATATATTTTTCAACATTGAATTCAATAATTCTTATTATTCAGTCTTGCTCTAAAACATTAACAAATTAAAGAAAAAACATTATGATGTATAAATGTTAACAATAATGGAAAATATATTTTCATCAATGGTATATTGATTGAATATCACATTGCAAAGAAGACATTCGAAACTGATCTATAACATATTCTAGAATACAATTAATTTGATGCAGTAGATTTTCGCCCATGCATCCACATGAGCATGTTAGAAATTTTCATCCCCAATGCTTTCTTTCCTCATGTAAAACTTGTCCATCAATTTTATTGTTAGATGCAGTCAGCATCGCTAATTAATTTTTAATTTAATTATCATTAACTTTAATGACACAAAACTAATACAAAATATTTTCATTGTTATATATCTTATTTTACCTTTTTTGCAAATGGTGGTTGTGGTGGTGGGGTCACAAGTGTTACTTATTTATTTAACCGTTCGTTACAGGTGGAAGAAGGGTATTCAGAATGTCCAAATTTGCATTACGTAATTTACGAATGGCCCCTTACAGTGTCATTTGTGGAATTATCTCTACATAAATTGGAGCTGGAAAATGAAATTTTACAGATAGATTCTTGCATTAATTTGATATTCGTACTTTTTGAAACATACTAGTTTCTCTACATAATTTTATCTTTTGATAAAATGGATTTATGAGAATGACAACATATATTTTCTTCTCTTTTTCTCTCAAGGAGAATGAGAATTCACATACTCATACAAATGACATTCAATTCAACATTTATCATGCTAACAAACACATCACAATAAACAAATAAAAACATGGCATATCCAATTTCTTTCAATAACAATCAATTGCTTTGATGCCTATTAACAAACACTTACATTACTATTTTATAGTATAATGTACAAAAGGAAGAAAACTCTTAGGATATATCACATGAATGCTCAAAAGTATCACGAATTTGGAATCCATGCAAACAAATATAGCAAACGCAATTAAACAATGACTCCTTAACAATTTACTTGGAATGAAATCACAGAAAACAAGATAATAAAAAATTACCTCATTTAAGAATTGTCCTTGCAAAAAACTAAAATAAAAGAAAAATATGACAATTAGTGACAGCCCAAGCCGGTTGTAACCAGTTTGTGGTACAACACAAAAAGTTGCTATTGAATTATCTTTAGTTATGTCACATGTATTTGTTTCATTTCTATAATTACTTTCAATAGCTTCAAACAACTGTCACACATGTTGCAAGCTCAATAACATGAGCCCAGAAGCTAGGGGTAAGGAAACTACTCGAGCACAAACACACAAGTAACAAATGTTTGTGAATATTTATGTTAAAATGAGAATGTACAAATTGTAATCATTATACAAGTATTGCTCATCTTTCAAAAATTTCAAAAAGAAAAACCACCACATTTATGTCCTCCATATTGAGGTAACATACATCTTATGGGAGTTCTTGGCACAAGTACAGGATCAGAGAAAGTAGATCTAAAATACTTTGCATATGGGTGTTAAGTTTGTGGAGACAACCATTCCATCTCACCACTTCTTTTGTGAAGCACAAACTTATGAAAACGCAAGCTGAAACTGATATCTTTATGTAAGTTCACTACTTAGTAAAGTTCATGGATGTATTCAAATACATGACATTTTTAAGGGCTGTAATTACCAGAATATAAGGCGACCCTTGTTTTTATAACTTGAAATTAGTTTGCAACAAAAAAAACAACATCAGTGTTATTGTTATTATTTTTATTACAATTATTATTTTAGGCAGGCCAAATGGGAAGTGCTAACCAAAAAAGTAAATAAGGATCTGTAGGGGTGGAGTGCATGATTGTAACCAGGAAATGCAGGAACCTTTGCCAAGCCCAATCTAAAAGAAACCGAAGCTGAAGACGTAGTGGACCCTCTATTCTTCCTCACAGCCCACCCGATGAGAGATGTACATGACCATCAGGAAACAGGTAACATCCCACCGATTACAGTAACACAGAGGCACTTAAGTTGACATGACCAGAAAAGTATTTGAGAAGTGACGGAATGTCAAAGCCCAAGCATTGGATGACACCGGGAAGAAAAAGATGTACACATGGCAGACGAGTCTCATGACTCACATAGCAGCCAGGAATGAATGAAAGTATGGTGAGGTAACTTCATGTGACAGTTCCTGACTAGACATGACTCTTTTGGCCAATACCTACATTGAATGGCCAGGATTGAATACCCGCATATCTTGACAGAGTAGAACACATATTCTTCACACACAAAAGATAGGCATCACAAAAACACCTGGAAGAGGAAGTTGGTAATATGATGCCAGACATCACCACAAGGATGGAACAACACAGCACATAAAGTACAGTGGCCACTTATGTGGAAACTGGGCTGCCCAATAAGACAGATCTTGAGTGCCAAAAAGGATGGGCAGACCTAAACAAATGGACAAAGGTATGCGTATATGCGACATAACATCGTGAAATAAAAAGATGAAGCCTACAGTGGGGAACAAAAAAAAACAACTGATAACACCCGAGGCGATTCCAGGGCGTATCTTTTTAAGAGGAAAACGGTTCATGGTTTTATTGGGGATTAAATCACACTGTTGAGTAGAGTTGTTTATTAGAATTTCTAGTTTCTATTGCAAAATGCTTAAAAAAAGTGGGGTTTTATTGTACAATCCCTTTTGCAGCTTATTCGCCCAACCCAACAATCTACACTTTTGATCCTGAGGACATATCTGTTTAGTCATCTTCGTTTTACTACTATATCTAATGGATGTATGTCATGTTATCTTCTACATGCTATACAGGTTTGTCGGACATTTGTAAGCACCTAGAATACACTCCTTAATGTCACAAAGATGGTCTCATGACAATCACCAATGTGTGCTTTTACTTGTTGCAAGAACTTGCAATTTTTTCCTGGAAGCAATTAGATACTTGTACTTACATTGTTAATTACGTTTAGAATGTCTTTCTTTAAATTGTCAATTACTTTCAAGAATGTCTTAAGTAGTGTTTGTGCTGTTAGAGACATATACAGATTTTAAAAATAAAAAGACGTTAGACATATTCAATGTCATATTCACAGCGACTCTCAACATTAAAAATTCATGAGTGTTTGAATAAAGAATTGGAATTGTATTCTTCTGAAGAGGATGAAGATTTTCTTTATGGACTATTGACTAGTTTGAACAATGCAAATTTTATTGAGGAAAATGAAAATGGTGCAAATGATTCTATTGGTGAGTCTTCTCAAATTCAAGAGTTTTAATTTTCTTTAGACTGCTGTTGAAATTTATGAACAATCTTATTTACTATTGAAAAAAACAGTGAAATATAATTTTCTGTAAATGGCATATCTTCTGGACTAAATTAGCTTTTATCATTTTTTTTACCAGAGTATATTTCTAAAAGTAAAGGCAGAAAAAACTGATATGCAAATAGAACAATTTCTGAACTTCAACATAATATGATATATGTGCATGATGGTTTTTCTTTTACAATGTTTTGAACGATAGCTGTATTGCCCAGTACTCAGGGGTTAACCATGTAGTGTAATGCTCAGGATCAAATGTGCTAAAAACAAAGCACCGAAAGAAAGAGAATTGTGAAAAGAAGTGAATTGCACATACTCTTTATAAACATTAAAGATATTTAGGGAAAAAAGGGCATGTGAACAAGCAGGCACAAATGCAATCCAAGACACTCATTCTGTTTTACAGTATGTTTCCTGAAACATTGTCGGTGCATTCCTTGAAAGTTTTGAATCTTAGAGCATTAAAATCTGATTTTCAAGGAATGTTAAAAATTATGTACTGCCAATCATTTTAATCTACAACACGAGATCTTTTGGGACCATCTATTACATTTTTGGGATTCACCTTTTCAGAAATTGCATAATTTCAAATTGTACTAGTACAGACATTTTTCTTCAAACAAGGTAATAAAACAATAGCTGATGGCGATGAATAAGGTTTAATTGTACTTCAACACCTTAGGCCCGCTGGTGCCAATGGCCTCCAAGATATAGAGAACAAAAATTTAACTTGAAAAAATATATGTATAAAATCTTATACGAGGGTAAATACGGTCATACTTTTTATAGGAATACCTTAACTAAACATAATTTATGTAAATAATGAACTGCAAATTATGACAATAGTGCTAACAAAACAATTCTACTACCATAAAATACAAGACAAGTCATCTCAAAATACAATTATATTTTGGGTTACAAATTAATTTTTTCTTAAAAAAAGTAGCTTCTCAAATAAAATTTGTAGAACATTTGACACAAGCATTTTTGGTCAATGGTAGATCAACCATGAATAAACACTAAAAAATATTTTGTATTGACAGAATCCTAAGGCACATGCATGATCTTTGAAACAACACTCATAAACATTTCAACAGACCATTCTAACAGGCATGATGCAACAATTTCCAACCACAATAAAACTTGAGTCTATCTACACACAATATATTAATATTAACCAGAAACATCATGAAAAAGCAGGTAACACTTCCAATAAAGTCTGATAACTATCAAAAATCAGTAAGTTGAAATATTTCGTTAATCTAAAAACTTCATGAACAAAAAAAGCATGTCAAAATTTTACATTGTGTTAAATTCACAGTAGAAAACAATGTAATATAAAATCAATAAAATCCATGCTTTAATTCTACTTTACAATACTGATAATAAACAGATCTATATGAATATACTATAAAATACAAATCAATCTCCTTGAACATTTTCACTCAAACATTTTCTTAAAGAAATGCATATTTGTGGCTTTGATTAGTCACATAAAACATTGACACAAACTGAACATGAACACCGATTCTAAATCTAAAAAAATGACTTCAAAAGAGACAAACATATTCAACAAAAAATTAAATTGAAAAATGTGAATGACAATGAATGCAAATGCACATTTGAAAATTTCACAAAAATAGAATATTAAGAATAATTACACAGGCAAGGAAATCAATTTTTTCCTTTGACACAAGATTGAACAGATGTCTAAATCTAATTTTGGCATTCTGAAATTCGGGAACCATTTTTTTTCTTGGCAAGATTTTTAATCATCTGAAATTTTCAATGTTATAGAGAAATTATTTTTTTGTTTATGCTTTTGAATGCATGAAACACCATAAGTCATAATCAAATATGCCAATTCTAAATTCTGAAAGTTTTTAAGAAATTACAAAAAAATATTACATAAAGGAAGAGGAGGATAAATTTCTCCTTCCTTATCCAAAATAGATCATTGCAAGGACTTGTGTGCATACTCATTCATCTATGCAGGGGTCTTCAACATTTTACATAGTTAAGAGCCCTTCGAGCTAATGGTTTCATGAAGGAACCTCATGTTTAAATAGCAGATAAATTAGTTTTTATCAAAGCTTTTTCCTATTCAAATTCAAAAATTTATTTAAATGGTCAATAATATGTAAAATAGAGTGATTGTCACTTTTTTTTAAATTTAACACTCAGGTATACATTTTCTCTTTGGACAATCACAGAACAGAATTAAAAAAAAAAGTTTTATATTTCACATATTCTGATGTTATATATTAGTTTTATATTTCACATGATGATTCACATAATTTTTCTTATCATCATTAATATAAGTTAATTTATGCCTGAAAATGAAAATTAATTTTTTTTAAAAAAACTACTTATTTTTATTTTGGTTTTATCCTCATAATTTTTTTAATTGTTTGATCAATCTTACATGTTTGTACAATCAACTGCCTTTTTATATACAATTTATATTAATATTGTATTTTTACTTAAATACTATATTAACCCTCTGACTGCATCAGGCCAGCTGACTGAGTCATGCCTCTTGCATCAAGCTTCTTGCTGCAAGCCACATGGTGAACTGAACTCGCTCACACAGAGATACCACGCAAGGCACCTGTTTTCAATAAGTCCTAGCAATAGCCGAAAGCGCGTCTGCATGGGCGAACTCATCCAGAGGCTCTCGGGACTATGCAGTTGTTGCTGCAAAGAATCTCATCTTGATGCACCCAGCAACAACCTAACTGAGATTAGTAACTCGTCTAAAGGCTACCAAACACAGAAATATTTTGTGTATAAACTTGTCTAGAGCAATCAAAGGGTTAATCTAATATTTTAGTAAGAGAATCCATTACCTCGCTTCGACATGAAAAATTCCTTGTTCAGATGATTTCCATTAAACATGTTTTGGCTGAGCAAATAGTGATCACTTGTGGAACTGGTCAACCTGCCAAGGAACGCTAGGATTCTGCGTAACCAAAGTTGAAGACCCCTGATCTACACCATTTAGTATTTCAATAGTTTGAAGTGAATAAGAAAATAATTATAATTATTTCTGTCACGCTAAAAATATCAAGAGTTAAGTATGAAGTACAACGTACTGTTCCGTATTCAACTTATTAGCTAGGAGATGGCATCCGAACACCAGCATAATACACCACATTATCGGAGAGTGGCACAGCAATATCCACCTCAAGTACATAAGATCAACAATTAGAATAGTTCACATGCTACACCACATATCAATTGGACACTGCCATTTTTCTTATAATACACAACTTAACCATCTAATATACAAGGAGTGAATCCAGTTGACTGCCAAATAATAAAAACATAAATAAATCATTGGCATTATGATTTAATAAATAACAAAAATAATTTTTAAGTAGGTGGTCACAGTTCTTTGACATTAATCAATAATACATATGTTATCAGGGCATTTAATATGATTAATGTCAAATATGATTTCACAGTAATTATCTCACTCTGCAAAATCACCAAAGACCCTTCTAAGCAAAGATAAATACCTTAGATAAATCTTGCATTCCCAATTTAAATCACAATCACAAAATGTAATACTATACACAGCATAAAAAAATTAAAATTTAATATAAACCCAATAGTATATCTTAATTGCTCAAAGCTGTTTGAAAAAATGTAGAAAAAACAATACATCAGTTGAACTGAAAAATCTGTTGTTCGTTTTTACTCATCCTAAAAGTTTGTAATATTGACTTTTATTCAATAGAAATAATAATTGATTATTTATTTACACCAGCATAGATTTATGAAACAAATTCTCACCATGACCACCTAGTAAATAGCAGATGAAAAATAAAATACTAATGCATTTAATAATATCAGAAACTCGGTGCCAAAAACATGTGTTCAACTTCAATTCAATTCCATGATATTTGGTTTATTTCTCTCAATCAATGCTTTAAAAATCTGTATTCACATTATTTTTCAAAGATCAACGACCCGTTCTAAAGTTATCCAAAAGGCAAAAGAAAAAAATTATAACATTTATTACAAGAAACAAGCAATTTGCTCAAAAGTACAACGTATATCAATACAAAAATTGAGAATAGAATTACATAAATTTACTAACATGATATTTCAATTTTTAAATCAATATACCTAATTTTGGCTCTTATTTAACAATTGAGAGAGAGAACATTATAAAAACTTAAGAAGAAATAAGTAAAAATAGAACGAAGACACAAAAAAGCAGATAAAAAACTCATGAACATGCTCAAATCTCAAAATAAATAATCTAAATTTTATGCAATAATATACTTATTGTAATAAATAAATTTAATACAATAAGTAACGATTATTTAAAACTGACAAAATAGCAACTTAAATACAATTATGATAATAACAAAAAATGATTTTAAATGAAATTTCTTCAAACCTTTAATTTGCAATCAAATCAAATTTAAGTTACGAAGAGCAATATCCCAGTTTGAGAAGTTTTTCTTTACATAAATTATTTGACTCTTGTATTAACTTGAAAAGAATAATTGTTTCGAATATCACAGATGTCATTTTTGGCTCCAATTCTAAATATTTGCTAATACTCTTAGATAAACCATTGTTATACTGGTCCAATACAATTTCTAAGCACATTATATCTATTCTTCTTTGGCTGACAGGAACAGCTTTTGAACATTGTAGGTGGCGGCAACTGGAAAATTTAGTAGTAAGTTCAATTAAGATCATTTGAAAATACAATAAGAACCAAACATTAACAATTTATAAAAAAATATTGTCTAATTTTAATAAATAATGATAACCGTGATAAAATGTATCTGCAGAATTTAGAGCTAATTATCGTGTTTACATAACTAAGGAAAACAAATTGTGGTGGACAGGAAAAGGGAGTTGGTATCTACTTTACAGAAGGTTAAAATCTTTAGCAAACATCGCAGATAAGTTTCGATAAGAGACAAGTTTCAAATACCCATAAAATCTCATTTTGTGGAAACCTTTTATCAAAAAAAGTTTTTTGTTTTTTTAATACATAGTATATTAACCACAAGGTTCGGGAAATTCTGCAAATGAAAGTGGGTGTTTATCTATGTTTGTCAAGTCTAGGACCTAAATTGTATGGAGAAATTTTACTAACATGGACAGTGGACTCAAGATCCATTAAAATAATCAAAAAATATCAGTTTTGGAGCAGCATATTCTGTGAGCTAGCTAGGCTAGTCATGAAGCCCAGATGATATTTTGTAAATAATAAATACATTTATCTTAAAATGTGTTTTTCCTCACAGTTTAATTATTAACATTAGAAAAGATGAGCGTTGTAATCTTATCTGAATTTAGGTTGGCAAGAGTGAGGGGAGAGGAAAGTCAGCAGAATAATAATAATAATAATAATAATAATAATAATAATAATAATAATAATAATAATATAAATGTTGCACACGTTAAGCTTTGCAGTCCCTCCACATATATCACATTTGACTTATCATACACAATTGAAATTGGGTACGACTCACTTAAAATTGATATAATAATTGATAATATAATATGGCAATTTGTTCACATTACTGCGCTTATGAGTACATCTATTTCAAATTATTATGTCAAGAAAACTAGAAAACTCAACAGTTTTCTGTGAAAATGAGCTCTAAATTCTGTGTTTTCAGAAATGTTTTAAATTTTAATTAAATTCTCTGAAAAATGACTCCCAACTTTTTCCTTGAACTTTTTGAATGGAGAGTGCAAATTATACTATTTAAAATGACAAAAAATTCATTATGCTCTACTCTTTTGTTATTTCAAATATTACACAGATGAAATTTTTTTGAAATATTTGTCATGTCTTTAATATGTGCATATGAATACATATTTTTTATTTAATATGTGCAATTTGAATACATTACTGCATCTGTGGGTGGAAGTCCTTCAAATTACTTTCAATAAAGTTTCTAGAAAACTGTAAAGTTTTTGGTGTAAAAGAGCTTCAAATTTTGCATTTACAGTAATGCTTAAAACATATTTTATTAAAAACAGTTCAAAATTTTTCATCAAATATTTCTTTATAGAACAAGACTTTACTCTTCTATAACATTATTAGAGAAATATTTAGTGTCTACCATTAGGAAACAAAAAACGGAGGGAATACTTTTTCAAAAAGATACTTTGGCGATGATAGATCGCAGCTGGCAAGAGTTTGTGGCAAGCCCAGACCAATGAAATTACAAAACTATACGAGAGTCTGTGCTATTCGGAACCACCAAATTTCTTTCTCGCACTTCGCAAAAAGAAAAAGTTCCGTAATAGTGTACCCGAAAATGGCAATTTTTGGCAGAAAAACTCGTATTCCTGGGCGCCGGATACGAAAAATTCTGCGATATGTAGTAAATTACATCCTCTAACACGTGGTGAAGCCAGAATGCATGTTTTGCGGGTCCTTAATACCGGAAAATCGATTGACGGAAAAACGTCCATCGATAACGCTAGCAACTAAACCGTTCGGCGGATTTTCTCGGCGTTCGGCGATTGATATTCCTCGATCGATCTGGCGAATGTTGTGGCCCTTCAATCTGAAACCGATATTGTAATTTTGGGAAGTATTTACACGAAGCACCTGGAGCATTTTGAAAAAAATGACTCAATCGTTTTTGATTAAATTTTGCTGTTAAATGGTCTAAAGGACGTTCAAGAGAATGGTGCAGGACTTCTGTTGGAGGAAACCTTTTCGAAAATTAAAAAATTAAAAATTATATCAACGCTTTCTTTCAACTACAATTATGAAGAAAAACGTTTTTTTCCTAATGAAATGTGTTCATGAAAAACAGATCTACAAATAATGTAATGTTCAATTTTTCAAAATCATGAGTATTTTTTGCGAAATTGTGTCAAACAGGCATTTTTTTCTTTAAACCATTTTGTCTTAAAAACCGGCAATATTTTTATTAAACTTAGACTTAAGACAGTGTAACAGATGCATAAGAGGATGGTGCAGTCATCATGTTCGTTGAAATGCCTTGTTTTTCGAAAATTCAATAAATACAAAGATTTTCAGCGTCTTCCTACAACTGCAATTTTCCCCATGAAATATGTTCATCAAAAACATCTTCAAAGAAGGTCCTGTGGAATTTTTTGAAAATGAGTACTTTTTATGTGATTTGGTAACAAACATAGTCACCCGCTCAGAACTTACAGCGCTTTGAGAACATAATACTAAGCAGTTAGACGTTTCATAAGTTACAATTAGTATATTATTTCATATTTCTTTGTTTGTTTCTTACATTTGACCTTTTGTACACATTAATCTTTTATAAATTATTTAAAACCTATTTGACATATATGAAATAAAAATTGCTAGCCTTTAGGAAATATCAGATTAGTTTGCTACAATGGCTCTGCAACAATGACTCAGGAGCTAATTTCTGTGAAGTATGTCTTTTTGTTGAGAGATGTTTTACCTGTATGAAAAGCAGTTATAATTGTCTAATTTGTGTTGATATTTGCTCAAAAATATTTAGATTTTGCACCAAATGTTCTGTGCTTTGTAATGAGTTTTAGAAAAAATGATGACTGAGATGTGTTTATTCGGATAGAAACTGTAGTATAAATAGTATTGCATACTATTACTAAAGGTGAGAAAGAAAGGCGCGCTATTTTAGCAACACTAGTTTAATATTGAAAATATTATTATTTAAATGGACTATTATTATGATTGAAGATAGCAAAAGTATTATTTTTTGGGGTGTCTTCCTACAGATCTAATATTGAAGATAGAGATTTTTACCCCTCAAGTGTGTTCTTTAAAGGCACATCTTGAAATAAGGTCATGCAGGTCATGTTTCATTTTTTTAAAATAAGAATAGTTTTTGTGGAATTTGAACGAAATATAGGCAATTTAAAAGTTCTTGAAGTTTTCTCCTCACTGTACAAACACCTGGTGTTGGTCTCATTTTAGTTGAACAAACTGAATTTTTGAAAACTGTGAGAAATTTAGAAATACTGTGAGAAAGTATGTGATGTTAGAGCACCTAGTTTATTATAATAAACTCATGCAAGACACATCAAAAGTTGACCAATAAAGTCAAATTATGCAACATGTAACCATCAAGAAAAATGAATGCAGCATACAGATTAAAATAATATGGTATAAATATTTCATTGAATTTAAGAAAATAAAAAATCAAGCAGCGGGGGGAGGGGAGAGGGGGGGAACTGGCATTACAACATTTTGGCGAACTTTGCTAGGGCTCGAGTCACTAATAGCCAACAAAAATACAATCTAATATTTACTATGAATACCAAGATATTGTCATTAACCAGTTTGAGTGATGATCTGTTGGATGGCAATTTTAAAAGTGATTCAGCCATAAGTTTTAATATCTCTTACGATCAATGAAATTTGCAAAGAAGCTCAAAAACTTCATTCAAAACACCCTGCGGATGTTACGGAAAACTAGTCGACTGTTATTGTCTTTGTGCACTTGTTTAAAAAGTCAACTTTCAAAACTAAGATCCGTTGATCTTGCAAACTTTAATAACCAAACATTGCTCATTATTAACAAGTTTTTCCGAAGTGTGTACCATATTGTCAAGATTTTTGACACCACCTGCCATGCTCGGCAGAGCCGAAAGAACATTTTTAAAATTAAAGTTGATTAAAAATTATTTACAAAGTACAATGGCATAAGACTGTCAGAATAATTGAGGCATTTTGTCAGTTGAGCATAAAAAAAAATTAAAAAAACACACACACACACAATCTAATATTAAAAAAAAAATTCTACTGTTATTGGTAAATTAGTAAATGCAAAGAAAAGAACAAAATTTAAATTTTAAAATATATCATGGATTTTCAAAAATAATACCTTTTATCTCTAATAGTTTATTGTAATATGATTTTAATCCCAAAATTCAGTTTATAATCACAACCTTAAATTAATGACACATCTTTAATTAAGAGGCCCTCATATTGTGTTGGTTAGGGCTTCCTCTGTTGGACTTACACTACTGCACAGGAGGGTTTCAAGGTCTCGCCCTGCAAAAGGCATGCTTTCCAGTCTTGTTGAATTGTCTCATTGTGATAGCTTGCTCTAAGTTCACTCTCAAACAGACTGTGTTTGTGTATGACACCTAAAATGTGTCAAACTGTTTGTGGATCGCATCCTGAAGCCTCTCTTCTGAATTTTGACAAACAAAGAGCATAATTATAGTCATTGTTCACGCAACTCTGTAACCGTACCCACTGCTTCAGCTTCCATGATTGCTTTATAAGCTGCTTATGGAGAATTATCACATGTGGTTTGTGGCCTGCATGCTTTTCTGATCTGACTGTGCGATTTCTTTCTGTGGAAATTCCTGAAAGATCAAGTGTATGCAACAACTCTCTGCACAGAAGTAGTATTATGGCACAACAAACAGGAACAGATCTCTACAATACTACAGAAAATCCTTTACTGAATGAACCAGGACATTGTTGGCTGACAGGACGCCGCATTGTTGGCTGACAGGACGTTGTTTCGCCTGTCATGTCGCTTTCTCAGGGTAGTGATGTATATACCATGTCAATCTTTACACAATGGGAATTTCTTATACATTAACACATTTGTGAGTAAAATTGCTTCAAATAATTTATTATAAAGTTTCATGAAAACTTTTAAAGTTATAAGTGAAAATGAGCATTTTCAGAAAAGGTCAAATAACTTTTTCTTAAGAATGGCTTCCGATTTTTCACTGTTAAGTGTATGCACAGTAGATTTTATACTTCTATAGTATTATTAAAATTATATTTCAATTCTACTATCAGGGATCCTAAAAACTGAAACAATGTGAAAAGTGTCTTTTAGGTGCGACTAGTTGGCAGCTGAAAAGAGGGTGGGGCAAATCTGACAAGATAGCACAGACTGAGGAGATAAGGAAATTAACTAGTACGAAAAATCTGTGCCATTCTTTAGCACCACTACTCGTAGTTTCCTTTTTTTAAACAAAAGTTTGACATTCTCAATCAATAATGTAATGGGACGGTCGGACATAGCAGATGACGACACGAACGATATATATATTTTATTTAATTAAGACCGCGCCGGCGGAAAGCGCAGCCGGAAATGCCGTTTCCTGCTGTACCTGGGAGAGCCGATTAGCGCGCCGAGGGAAAGGAGGTAAAGCGCCTCCTTTGTTCTGCTGAACCCACGCCGAACGCACCCGTCGTGACGCATGGGGAAAGACGCCACCCACGCCTAGTTCTCAGAATTTATGTGACGTAGGTAACTTCGGGGGAAGTTGCTGGGGGGGGGGGCGGCTTTGCCGCTGGCGCCGCGAAAGGCGGAAGAATTACGGGTGGCGCATCAACCAATTGAAATATACGATGCGGGGGAGGAATCACGTAGCCCGCCAGCTCTTCCTGAGGGACCGCCGATGAAAGGTGCGATCACTTGTTTCGGAGGCGGCAGGGGGATCACTTGTGTTGGAGGTAGCGGGGCGAGCACTTGCGTTGTGAGGCAGCTGCAACATCACCTGTGCTGTGAGGTAGCCGCGACATGACTTGTTTGTGAGGCAGCCGCGAGAACACTTGCGTTTGAGGCAGTAGCGAGGCCACTTATTTCCGAGCCTGGTCGCCCCGAATGCCACGCCGCCTCGCCACATCGCAGCCCGACTCGTGTGACGACAGACGAACGATGGGACGGGACACTACGAGTGAGTGCCTGACCGAAAGGGCCATATGAGTACTATCCGGGGGCGTGAAAGACAATATTGCGAAGCGACCCGTCAGGCCAAGCAACGCTGAGGAGCCGCCGGTCGACACACGCCGCTGGCCTACTCCGGGGCCGCCACAAAGGGACCTGAGGCAAGCAACGACCGTGGCGTCTCGCTGCCAGACCTGCCGGGCGCTGGGATGCCCGAACGCTACACCTGTGAGATGGATCACGACCGCCCGGGAGGGCGAAGACACCGGAGCTAAGATGAACTCTGGCCATACCGGCCGGCCTTTTCTAAGTTAAGAATAGTTATAAGTTAATTGTAAGTTGTTTATGTCACTGGGCTTCACCCGCACCGATTTCAAAAGTGATTAAAGTAGTATTAAGAAAATGCCTAAGTCTTTCTCTCTAGTAGTTAGGCAATCACGCATGCCTCCCTCTAGGGAATCTGCCGACGAAGCAGGCGGGCAAAGCTGAATCGCCGAAGGAATCAGATAATCGGGCGAGTCAGGCATATTTAGATAAATTTCAAAAGCACTAAATTCATTAAACTAATCCAGATATCAAATACTCTTATGAAAAGATTTTAAATCCAAAAAATACAGGCACACAAGAAAAACAAAAAGCTATTGAACACAAATATTCAAGAATTCTTATATGTGAACTCAGACAGAGAAAACTAATCTGTAGTGGTAACTGTAGATAACAGGTAAGTTCATCACAAAACACCTTGAGAAGAAGAAATGAAGGAGAGAGGTGAGAATGGAGAGAGAGGGAGGAGGAAAGGAGGGGGAGGAGGAGAGAAGAGTGGAGAGGGGAGAGAAGGAGAAAAAAAGAGAGAGAAAAATGTGAAAAGGGCTTTCTCCACAGTTTCTCTACAGCAGTGTTACACACTTTCCTCATAACCTCACTACTTTTAAAAACAAACTGTGTATTTTAATTGCAAGGTACACAGCCTGTAGGTTGTAATGGATCTTGGCATTCAAAAGGCAAATTTGGAACATGATTGGGTAATCGATTTTCCAGTAATCATTAAAGAAACTGCTGAAACTAAAGATTACTGCATTCACCAAAACATAATGTAACTGTGAATTTGAGGAGTTATTACGAAGTCCCAAACTTGTCTTGACAATCCAAAGTCAGCAGTAAGAAAGGACCAAACTTTGTCTCTTTCTAAGTTTTATGCTACTCTACAATAGATGGTTACCATACAACGAGAAAGCATTAAAGAAGCATTATAATCAATAATAAACATTGAGGAAGTGAGAGTAATAAATATTTTCAAACAAATTCTTACCCAGAGCATTCTGAAACCATGCTGGTTTATTCTGCCACACAACTCCCAAGAAATAGATAGGGATGCCAGAACATGTAATGAGTAAGCCAATTCCAACCTCAATGGGGCGCTCATACAAGGGTACCACCACAAGGAAGGCACAGATGAGCACAAACAAAATGGGAATCCACAATGAAACCTTAAAATAACAAAACAAAAAAACAAACAATAAGTACAGTAATTTAATTAAACATACTATGGAGTCATATCTATTTAAATGTCCTTTTTTTCCCTTCTGTTTTTTGGATGATATTGAAAAATTGACTATATATTTTAAAATATTTGTAGTTTGTAGATTTTTAGATTTTTAACTTTTTCTTAGTCTTCACCGACATGATGAGAAAAATAAACTATTATATTAAAAACTCATGATTGTTACATGGCCCACCTGCCATTCGGAAATATGGAAATGTAATATCATGTAAGGAAAGGGGGCACAGATGTCAGCAATTCCAGCTGATGTGTTGTAAAGTGCAATATTTTAGAGTGCATCTTCCTAGAACTACAATATCAAATATCAGAGATTTTTTCCTTAGTGAAATCTGTTCTTTTAACATTTATCTTAAATTAAGGTGATGTATATTTTACAAAAAATAAGTAGTTTTTGTGTAATTTTCTGTAAAATATAGGTAATTTTTAATTTTTTCTTTGAATTTCCTCGTCACATACACCAAGGGATGGCAAAAAATAGGGCGCTACCCCCATTTTCGGCAAACACTATTTTTTTGAAAATTGCAAAAAGGTAACATTTGAAGACAACAAAATTTGAAGAGTTTTTTACCTCAGACAAGTATGTTGTTAAAAAATTAGCTCTTTAAAAAAGGTCATGTACATTTTTTTTTAAAAAAATGAGTAGTTTTTGCATAATTTGTGATTCAAAATTATGAAATTTAATAAAACATTTTCTCAAAAACCACACAAAATTTTCCACTGAACTCAGAAATTTTGAAAACGGCAAATTTTGAAATAATGCGAGACAGTATGTGCTCGTGTAGCACCACTAGTTTGACTATTCACACAATATGGTAATTTCATATTGTGGAGGACAAGCATGGATTTCAAGGTTTACTGCTAAAGATAGCAAGCAATGCACCTTGCAGAGGAGAATTTTTGAGTAAGAGCGGCTGGTTGTGGAACTGTGTGTGCTGTGTGCATGTGGTGAAATCACAAGAAGCAGAGTAAAACAGTTAACAGTTGATAAAGATGGTTTTGTTTCTGTGTTCTTTTTGTCTTAATGTGTTTTTGTAATAGAATTCCAATAAACATTGTATTCATTTATTTCAGTGAAGTGCGATTAATACTATTTTCCACAATGATTTTATATATCGTTTTCTAATATGGTAATTCCAATAAATGGCAATACATTTCTTTAAAACTCATATTTGACTATCTGTTCTTGTTTATTGATTTGACCATTGATTGATTGTGTTCTAAACTTGTCAACATTAAGTTTACCAACAATTCTTATTTAATGTTATTTTAAATCAATATTGTTGTCAACTCCCTTTTTATTTGATGAATTAGATTTATTAAGTAATTTTTTTTTTGTTATTATCCAACACACTAGAATTAAGAAATCTAGCTTGTTTTGAATGAACATGGAATGTAAATTATTGTAACTCTCAGCAGTTGAAACTGTCTCATACAAAAAGTCAAAAGATAAACTCAGTTAAACAACGCATAATGGTGAAACTTTTTAAGTTGTTAAAATTTGCACCAACAAAAATATCTTTTGTATGAATGTAGGCCACATAATTAAGTTTTCAACTTTGGTAATGCTCACGAGTTCTTAAACTCTACTTGTAAACATAAGAAATCAATCAAATAAAATGGAGAAATCTCTCATCAGCATATTATATGGTTGCCAAACTGAAGAATATTAGCAACAAAACAGTTCAACAAACACAATTTTATGACTATTATAAATATTATATAGGGTTTAATATAATGAAAATAAACTTTTAAATGGAAATGACACAAGCACAACTAAAATAAAAATAGCATACTTTGAAATTTAAACGAATGAGTAATAATTTATAATTTAATTTAGGTCGATGATTTTAAGAAATATACTATCTGTGGAATACTTTACTAGAATAAAATGCCCAGCCCTTTCTCCAGTTAACAGTACCACTATCACCACTGCCATCTCCACCACCACCAACGAAAAAAATAAATTCACTTCACAACATAACAGAGTAAAAAATGAACAGTCCCCACTTGTTCTGCCAAAAATTGGCCATTAAGAGGAGGCTGCTTAATCAAGATTATGACGATTCTGGATGCGTAAATCAAATATAATATGAATAAAGGTGCTATTTACTACAAAATTATGTGTTTGGTGCTGCTTTGATATTATTCATATGAAGTGAAATGTTTCATCTATTTTTAATAATAAATTTGTGAAAACCTGTGCACAGTATTGATTTTGAATTTATTAAATTTGAAGAACTTCATGTGAATACGGAGGAGGAGAAGAAGAAGAAGGAGAGAGAGAGAGACAGAACTGATGTTTACTGAAGATTCCCCCACAAAACAATTAATAGAGCAATTGCGAAAGTAGAAGGGAACATAAATTAGCATGCGTTTGTGGAGTGCAGGTGAGTCTGCAGACAATTTCGCAAACATCAGTGACTTGACCAAGTGCCCAATATTCCAGCAGTATCATCCACTGCTTGGGGCATTACAACTGGTTAACCTGATATATCAGGTGCAACAAATTTTCAAGGGCTGTGTATATTTACAGCTTTGATTTTATAGAATTAACAAACAAACAAATTCTGTGTTCGCATTCAATTAAAAAAAAAAAATGTTTCCTCAACATGATGACATCCATAGATGAACCAAGACAAATAGTTTATGAAATACCACCTGATAGTTATCCCAAGATAATACACAATTTTATTTAGAGTAGTATCTCTATTAAAGTATATGGGAATTTCATAATTTTCTCAATTATTTTAGGATATTGTGAATTTTTTTTTACCATTTTTATCCACTATTTATACATTTGATGTACATTTCAGTACCTGAAGATAGTAATGGAATTAATGTCCCCAAAATATCATATCATAATGATAATTATTTAGAAACTGTTAATTTTATAGCAATAAAAAATGTCTATAACAAAATGAATCTTGAAAAACAACATATCAAGGACAGTTTATACTTAAAATGATCTACCAAATTACCTTGATGGGTCTTTCCATTTCAGGGTGTTTGTACCGCAGCCACAGAATACCTCCTACTGACATCATTATGAAGAACGATTCCACAATACTAGCATATGTGATTAGTGCATGAATATCACTCGTGCAAAGCATCACCATTGACAGCAGGTTCTGAAAAAAGAACACAAGTAATCAATTATGCATCACAATAATTACACCTAAAAAAATTACATATTTAATTTAAAAGCATACCAGAAAAACCAATGAAGGAGTGGGCGTGAATCGATTAACATTTATATGTGCTAACATTGCTGGGAAGTGTCCATAACGAGCACCAACAAAACACATCCTGAAACAAAGAAGAAATACTTGAAAAATTATATTACTAAGTATTGCAAATCATATAAAATATAATTAAACTAATGGTGCTACAACAGCATGTATGTCTAATTGGTAACAGGTACTTAACATTATTACAACTTACGTTTCAACCTAACACTTCAGCCACCACTGTTTTACAACATCTCACTACCAACTGCTCTTATTTGAGACCAATATTAATGAAATTATTGTCAAATATACTTATAAATATATTGTGACACATTCTTGAAAACTAATGGTTACAACACAATTTTTCTTATTTAATCCAGCAATGTAATTACTGTCAGCAATATCAATATTTGTTTTTATTGTTTTGTGAATTTGTAGTAGTAATCCCATGGAGTAATCTTATGTTATTATCATTGTCAAGTCTTATCTGTCTGGCCAGCGACTCAGCGCCATTAGATATGAGGGTTCTTAGACGCTTGAAGTAAAGGATATTTATAATACTTTTTCCACAAAAATGCCTCTAAATTTTCTTTAAATTCTACCTTCAGTTAGAAAAACACTTAAACATTTTTGGAGGTTTTATTTTCAACAAATTCTCTGCAATTTCGAAATGTGAGAAAGTATGTGCTGTTGAAACACCACTAGTTTACAACTGAAATTATTCCACGTCAAACTCCATCTTGAGTGTGAAGGGCAATGAATGATGAAAACAACAGTGCAACAATTATAATCAGCATAGATCTTTAGTTTACTTTGAGTTTGTTCAAAGAATTAAATATCTATTTACATTTTCACTACATTTTTGATGAAATTATACATTCTGAAAAATTTTGCAATCTCACTGTTAGCTATGAACCAATTGTGCATGTTTCATTCAGGAACGCTTATCTATCTTCAATTATGAAATTAGAGGAAATGTTAAAAAGTGCTTAACTTCTGTAATTTTTCAAAATTATCAAGTTTAATAAAAATAGGGCCTATGCAATTTTTATAAATTTTTTTACAAGAAAGGTATTTGTTAGGATACATCAAAAACATTTCTTTCCTTAAATCTATTTCCTTCCATACATCATACAATTAACACGACTGGCAACCATTACAAAAATTCTAAAAATATCCAGCTGCCATGTTGCGAAATGACCACGTATCAAGCAATTTTAACGAAAATTAGACCTTTATGCTATCTGAGGACAAAATTTAATCAAACAATTTGGTGCCTTTATTTCTGAAACTGTTCCAGGGACTTCAAGTAAAATATTACTTATATAATATATAATATTATATAATATATCTCTTCACGATTAAAATATCGATTTCAAATTCATGGGGCCGCAACATCAACCAGATTGATTGCAGAATATCAATTTCGGTAAAAATCCTGCTCAAGGTTTAGCTGCTAGCATTTTTCACAGATGGAGGAATGGACATTTTCCAGTCAATTAATTTTTCGGTATGAAGAACACACAAAACATGGATTCTGAGTATATAACATGTTAGAGAAAGTAATTTACTATATGTAGGGACAAGATTTATCCACTTTTTCATTACAAGGGGCCTGGCAATAAGTTTTATCAAAAATTTGCTGTTTTTCCTTGCAGCATTACAATATTTTATCTATACTGTGTAAGAAGTAGCGAGGAAGTAAATAAAAAAATAAAAAACAATCATTGGAAACGTAGAGTAGGATCATTCCAAATGTTCATTATACAAACAAATTTATACTAGACTAGACAAGGATTTAAATGTTTACATGTTTAACTGTTCTGTTGTAAACATCTATTAAAAGCAGCAATTTCAATCATATAAAATGTAATAATATAACTATTTAGGAATAGTAAAAAGGACAATGACATACAATGTACAAGGGGATGTTGAAGTAAATGGTTTAAATTGACATGCAAAAAAGAATGAGAAAATAATTTGTACCTCTAAATCTTATTTTTGTGCTAATTTTGAAATGCAGTATCATTAGTCACTTCAATGAATTACCATTTTAGTTCGAACCTATTAAAATATACATTTTAACACATAGAATATTTTTTCTAGATATGATAAGGTGATTCTGTTTGCTCTCATACCTTGATGAAGTCATGACATGAACACTCAGTCCTCCAAAGGCAGACAAAGCCACTAACAGGGGCATACACCATGCTGCTGGTCCCAGGACTTCATTTGCGAATGTCTGTAACATAATTATTTTTCATAATTAAAAAGAGATATTCTAAATAGTGTGCATGAATATTAAACAATAAATATAATAATAAGATCTGAAAGAACTGTAAAAATATGTTCTAAAATAATCAATCAAACATTAAAACAATGGTGGTTTCTAGTTGCAGGTTTAAGCAACCACCACTTTTATTCCCTTCTTCAATTTTCAGACTATCACAGTTTACTTTAGATAAATACATCACTTCAATAACATTCTTATTCTTTGAAGAGAGATTAGTTTAAAGCTTCCTGCTCATTTATTGCTGCTGGTGAGGTTTGAAGCTGCACCCACAAACCGAGCTGTGGTCAAATACTTGTACACGTGCATCTAATGTTTCTTGAGTATCTGGAGAAGTGCTGCCATATGCAATCAGTGTTTATTAGTGGGTCTGCAAACATCATTGCTGCCAGAGCAGATATAAAAATGTGTTTGTTATTCTTGTTGTTGTTTTTGTTGATTTTGTCATGCTTTTAAGTGGGGAAAGGACTTGAATTTCACTGTTTATACAAGAACGAACCACTTCAACTTTAAACATAGAATAAATTGTCAGAGGCAAGATCCTACAATTTACTTGTAAAGTATCCCATCCATTTACAAATCACAATTATGGTCATGAAAAGAAACATGTAGTGCACTGTTTTTCATGAATGTTAACTCATTAACGGCCAAGGAGAGAAATAGTTTAAAAAATACAAATGTTCTTTTTTAAGAACACACAAACTAAGGTTCATAATTCTCCTTTACATTTAGATACAAAATTTTTGATGTTGCGAAAGAGGAACATCAGCCGAATGCACACGACAGCACATCGGCCTAAAGTACAAAATCACACAGATTCGCTTGTGTGGAAGTTTTCAAAGCATTTAAAGTGTAAATGCACATTGCACTTTTTGCACATAAAAATGTAGTGTTTAGCATAACTCGCATATCCTTCTGGAATCCGTTTATCATTTTGTAACAAAACAATTTGTACCATAATGCCTCATAGTGTTCAGAACAGTAAATTTCCCTGAATCTTCTAGACAAGTATTTATGCTGACCAGATTTCCTGATTTTATTGGGCATCATGCCGCAGTTGATTTGAAATATAGCAGGATCATTATGTTTTCAGGTGACACATACAATTTCCAGGAATTTACCAATCAGCAGCGCAAACTGTACATAAATAATTCTAATTTCTTGTTGTACTCCAAAAGAATTTCTGGCTGGTTTATGAAAATGTATTATCATTACGTTTTGCCATTGTAATATTATTTTTGTCAAATTAAAAGTCATAAGTTCCTGAAGTTGTTTTTTCCATTGTCTTATAGTCAATAAGATTGCATTTTCTTTTAACTTGTTTCTTGCAACTGGTATAATTTCACGAATTGTGCCACTTGCAAAAAATCCTTTTTTCTTCAGTGACACAAACCAAAAGAAAAAAAAATCAAAAAAATGTTACATTGTTTGATGGGTCTTCTCTACTTCCATAGTAATTTCATCACATCTGTTTCACTTAAACTTTCACGCTTATCAATTTTTTTTAAATTGAAAGTTAGTTAAGTTGAAATTAGAAGAGGTAACATTTTGGCTAAATACCAATATGCAAAATATAACACCATTTGATTATCAATGGACAGATTGTAATTAGTAATGCTGTAATTCAGGAACGTAATGTGAAGGTGCAATTGGGGAAAGTTTACCAGATTTATAGAGACATGAATTGACTTATAAATGTGTATGTTTTTTTTTATTTCATTGAATATTATTTTTAATTTATTTAATTTGTATAAGTTTTGTTTTGTTTGTTTCTATTCATTATTAATCGTAATAAACAGAATTTAAATTTTCCTTGATCATAAGTAGCTCAGCTCCATAATGGTACTTGTAAATAAGATTTATAATATTGTTCATTAGTTTTATTTAGATCACAATTTCATAACTATTTATGTCAGATTTCAAGAGGTATTATCGCTTTTTTTATTTATTTATTTATTTTATTTTATTAGTACTATGTCAGCTCTCCCATCTTCTCATTTATTTCCTGGGCAATCCACAGATTTAGGTGTCAAGACGACATCACGAATATAACAGAATTACATCAAACCAATTGGAGTAGTTAGTATTCAGTAAAATGAAAATTTATTATTGTTACTGTTTATTAGATAAATGAGGTTTTGCTGGCTTGATATTCAAGCTGGCACAACCTATTTTTTTAAAAAAACAGGCACCAAGCAAACTAATAAGAATGTCTAGTATTCATTATTACTTACAATTTCAAAATGAAATTTATTACTGCGGCCATTTATTAAATATATAGAGCTGGGCCGATGTGATTGTCAACCTTGCACAACGAAATTAAAAAAATGGGCCCAGAGGAATCAGTTATGCTACCTGCCATACATTTCAGTATGATATTAGTGAGAATATCGAGTGGATGACAATGTAAATGTGGGCTCTATCAGGTAAGTCTGCATGGGACGCCCCTTCAGGAACACAGAAAGAATGAAGAGGAAGCACTACTTTATAGCAAAGTATTGACAGAAGAATAACTCTGTTTAGATGGAGATATAACAGCAGTCAGAATAGAAACAAATTTACAAGACAACATCTGTCTTTCATAAGGACATTGCACACATTCCTGCACCAAGGAAAAGAAAAGAATTTCAATACCACAACCAACAATTGTATGTTTATATAATAGAGGCATGTGTGGTGTCGATCTGTTGGATGAACATCGATGTCTCTACAGAATACGTATTAGGTCTAAAACACAGTGGTGGCAATTTTTCGGCCAGAATGGAGCCATTGTAAATACATGGTTATTGTACAGATGGATAGCACCTGGCATAACTTCACGAAAAACAACAACAACAACAACAACAACAACAATAACAACAACCTCTTGTGCAGATCTCGCTTTAAATGAAAAGAGTAATTTAGTAGATCTGCAGGTTACTCAGCGTAAATACAAAATAGACAAATATAATTCTGAAGTATAATGTAATATAGAAATATGAATTGAATTAAAACCCACTTTTCATGATGTGTAATGATGCTAAATGATGTGTATGATTTATCATCTGCCCTAAAAAAAGGTATTTTTTATTTAATAACTCTTATTCTTCTTTTAACAATGTTTATTTTATAAACAGCAACTGTAATAAATGTGCATTTAATTATCTAATCGGTTGTATTTAATTGTGCCTGTTTGTACTCTACTATCCATAATTGAATGTGTGGCATGGTTGCATAACTGATTCTGTTTAGCATTTATTTAATAAACAAACACAAATTACTTTCATTTTGGAGTAATACAAAAATGAGTGACTTTTAAAAAACAATTCAAAATTCAATATATTGTATTCATCGTGTCAAAATGACCCCTCTCCGCAGTTCTAGGTATATTAGATTAGCCACAGAACTAGTGATAAAAAATAAAGTACATTAAGTTTAATCAGGCTACAAAAGCAGAAATACTTCAGATACATTACCACAGCTATGGCATCTGAAGACATCAGTGCTTCAGGGGTGAGTACTGCCAAGTAAGCAACATTTGCAAGTACATAGATCAGAGTTACCAGAGGCAATGAAATGTAAATGGCGCGTGGCAAATTCCTGGGAAGTAATAATGAAGATAATAATAATATATAATAATAATAATAATAATAATAATAATAATAAATAATAACAACAACAAAACAGCAACAATGTGGAAAGTCATGAACTCATGAATATAATAAGAGGTGAAAGGAAAATTTTGTGAAGAAGCAATACTAATGAAGGGAGAGACCAAAAGCTTTGGATTCAATTTTTTTTAGCACAAAAACCTACACAACAATCCTAATTGGGCAACTGATCATGAATTCACTCTAAACCCTGAGATACACTATTATTGTTATCAAATGCTCAGAAAACAAATAACCTTTAAGACAAATTTAGGATGACTAAATTCAGGGTTTTCACTAAAGACAAAGAATTATTTTTTCTGAATAACCAAATCTTTACAACAAAATTAACTCAACTTACACATAAGGGTCCTTCAGTTCCTCAGTCATAAAGTTGAGGTAATTCCTAGAAAATTTAAAACAAATTAATTTATTCAGTCAAATAGAATGTATTATGTTATGATAATCTAAATTACACAATAGTTGCAACAGGCATTCTTTTTTCTATGGTGATGTATTAATGAACTTGATAATTGTCTTCTGACGTAAAGCAACAAAACATTTTAATAAATTACAAATTCACTCTTCTTTCATATCCATTTTCAACCTTAAGACTAGGTGCATAGCTAGAGTGGTGTAACTGGCCCACCACATTGATCCTCCGAAGTAGCATAACCTAAGGACCCTTGTGGATGGATTTCGGAAAAGAATTAAACAAATTTCACTCCATGCCATTTTATTCCATTGCACAAGCCATATTCTTATATGAATTAGATGTAATACACATAATTTCACTTTTTGACATTCTTGCAACGAAGCATCTGAAAAACTAGTTATACAACTACTTGGGGTGTAAGTAAACTGAACAAACTCTAAACTATGTATTCAGATCGATACTCTATCGCAGAAGTACATACTCCCTGCAAAACACACTGGAAAAGTGTGATGAACAATTAGATGCACCAATGAGGTTTGATGATACCCATATGGAGCGATTTCAGATGAGTGATTCACTCATGTGCTCCTCGATCTAAAAATGGAAACTACGCAAATTGAATGAAAAATAAATTTAGAACATCTTGGAAGAGATTGAAGATAGCAATATCTTTGAAATTGAAGATATTAAATCTTGTGATGTAGAAAATGAAATGACACTGTTCTCCGAATTGCCAATTGTTCAAAGGAAGTAGTAGTTTGAAGCAATACATAAAGAATAAACTTTATAAATGGGGTTTTAAAGTATTCATGGGGGCAGTCCAGTCTGGTGTGATGTATGAATTGAGATAAATTTTGGCAATACAATATGTGAAAATGTTCGCCTTGGCTTCCCCGGGAATATTGCAAACAGCTTTGACAAGTACACTACCACACTGTAAGAATTTCAAAGTGAACTTTCATTGGTTTGTATCGTTCCAGTTCGCTGTAACACTAAAAGAAATTGGAATATTTTGAGGTGGAACAATGAGAAAATTTCCCTTGGGATTAGATGGCTATCACAGAGAGAATCTTACAATTGTCGTGTAGAAACAAAACAATAAGTAGCTTTAGGCAGATGGTTTGACAGAAGGTCAGTAAATTTCATTTCCACATGTTTGTTCAGAGCTGAAAGATACTTGCAAGAGATGGAGTGAAGCAGAAAAAATGTATAGAAATAAAAAGATAGGCTGTTGTCAAGGAATACAATTCATTTATGGGAGGAGTGGATCAAGCTGATATGCTTTTGGAATTGCATAGGACAGATATACGATCCAAAAAGTGGGCCACTGGATTTTTTTTACTGGTTCTTTAATGTGGCAGTAGTCAACAGTTGGCTGCTCTTGATGAAGGCCAGAAAAGAAACAAATGCACAGAATTCTTACTAAAATTTCATGCAAATATTGCTTTTGGCAAAACAGAAGAGAGGAAGTCCATCAGTTTTTCCTAGACCTGCCAAAAGAAAGCAATTTGCTAAGAACAACCAATGATATCAGTCATGATGGATTTAGTCAAAAATTTCATATTTAGTAAAATTTCATACTTTTACTGCACTTGCTTGCAATTACCTACCAACTACCCTTTAAACCCCAATGTTGCCTGAGGGCAACATGTAGAATTTAATGACATAAATGGGAGAACCCCCACCCCCCCAAAAAAAGGAAGCCGTATTTGCAGTAAGTTACTCAATTGTAACTCAACATTATAAAAAAATTCATTAACTGTAATTTGGGATTGAAAGGGTTCATGTGTGCCAGAGTTGTGGAGTTGGTAAGGAATAATTGTAACTGCCTCACATATGAGAATAGGTATATCAGAGTTCGAAAAATACAACCTTTCCTGTTTTTAGGCGGCCATTTTGCTGTTTGTAAGGTGACTGTAGACAATCCTATAGGCGTGCACTACATATGAGGGAATAAGGAAATTTCATTAGGGTCCTTCAGCAAAGTGCGTCGCGTGACTTAGCGCATAACATTGCTACCTTACACAAGGCACTAAAACTCCCTATTAAATTGAAGTATTATGTGTTATGCTTATGCGAACACACTGTGAATGAGTCCACTTATAGATGTAGTCCTAACTTTTATGTTAACACCATGTTTAATTTATGTTTGCATTGTGAATGAGCCTTTGCAATACTTTCTCTTTGCTAAGTATGAAGTAAGATGAGAAAGTGAAGGGGAGTAAATTTTCATTTTTCTTTCCTTTTGGAGTAGATGTTTCTCTTATTATTTTACACAGGATAAAACTCCTGACATGAAAATAATGACAATCAAATCAAAATCCCATGACAAAATAAAATGTGTCGCTTTTTGTGTAAATCAAAAACTACAACTGATATTCAGTTCTATAATTGTCAATGTAAATACATGGGATACACCAGCAATCATTTCAATGATTGAGTAACAGGTCACATAAGGATGGAAACAGATCACAAAATAAACATACTTTCTGAGATATCCAACACAGGACCCTCACCATTGCACGATACATGCTTCACTTATTTAATTTATACGACACATTATTTATTTACCTATTTATCAGCTTTTTGTTTATATTTGAAAGGCTTAGGATAGTAACAAGATAAGCCATTACTAGCCGCAGAAAATCTTTCATTATTTGTAAATACCAATAACTTGATAAAAGGAAAGTTTATTTTTGTTACCGCAAAAGACTTTTTTCATATGTGAGAAAGGCTATGAACTAATACACTACACTTGATTTTAAATTTCAATAGGCAACTGATGATAGCAAAGTCGAAAGCAGGATGTCACTAATAAATTAATGGTGATGACGAAATCTTTCTTTTATTTCATGATATTTTGATGTGCTGCTCTGTGAACACTCACACCTCCGACTAAGCGTTATCATAAAAGTATCTGGCATATATACAGAACAAAATAATGTTTCCCCCCCTCTTTAAGAGTGTGTGTGTATGGGGGGTAATAAGACTTTTGAACAAAAGAGTTATGCAGTTAAATTAGTTGCAAAATCATATACTCACCAACCAGAATAAGAAAAAATTCCTGAATACACTGCCACAGCTATTTTTCCAGGGTCTGTAGTTGTGTTCTCAAATGAATTACTGAAGTTGGAAGAATGTCCTTTAAAAAAAAAAAAGTGCCATTAGATAATACAAAAAGCAAAGAGTGAAAGCAGATGAGCTTATTAACTAATGGGCTAAATAATTCAACATTTATACAATAATATGACTTCTAAAACATTCAAACAATGCTTATTATAAAGATCCAATATTGCTCTTGCTTTCAATTATTTAAAAACATTAGAAGTTTCCACTGAGAAACAGTCAAATACGTCATATCTAAATCCTGCGTGGCCTCTCATTTCCTTGAACAAATTTGCCTGAGTATTCCTGGTTTTCCAGTAAATTGTTTTCCTCATAAGATTTGTAATTTCAAACAAAGAAAATATTAAAGGACTTGGACAGATCTTCAATTTTGCCAGGGCAAACTGCAAATTAACAATATTTATTCAGAAAATGACAATGCAGCAAAAAAGAAGTTCCTATTTCTGTTTTTAAAGAAATAATATCTAGTTTTAGAATTCAGAAATTACCCTAACTAGAGATTCTTCTACAAATTTCTTAATTTTCTCCGGACTTTTCTGAGCAATGAAATTCCTTGATTTTTCCAGGTTTTCCATGTTTTCCAGAAAGTGACCACCCTCAACTGTGACAGGCATTATGCTTCACCTCTAGACAATAAATAAATGTTTCTCATTTAGCATCGAAATTATGAAGTAAAAACAAGCCCATGTTTTTCGAAGCATATTTTCATGGGACACATTTATGCACAAAATATATTGTCAAGGCCACGATTTGGAGAGAGGGATAAATACTTGGAAGATCATACTGAGTTAGAAGGTTCAATTCTTACAAGTTCATTTTTACAAGTCCTCTCCTTAGCCTGTCTCACTGTCTAATTAGCCGACTTAGAACATAACGATGAAGCGATTGCCGGGCCAAGGTGGCGTGTGTTATATGAAAGTAATGTGTGGAAATGAAAGTCAGGAAGTGCAGGAAGGAACATGTGGGAAGGAAGATTGTGAAAATGGTGGTTAGGTTCCAGAGATCCGAAATAAAAGTGGTACATAATTGTACATAATTATTCAAAATTCTGTTATTGGCTAGTATTAGATGAGTAATCAATTTATTGCACATAGAGAATAAGAAAAATCCCTTTGTTGTTGCCCTGGTGAAGGCTTAATACAAGCTGAAATGTTGGCAATTTAAATGTTCTTTACTGACCGAAACTCAAAATTCCCTACTATTAAATTTAATGAACATTCATGATAAATACTTAAATGTGCCTAACACTGCAGTAATGCAGAAATTTCTGAAATTGTACCACTGGAATGCTTTTAAAAATTTTGTAGAAATTTCTTCAATTTCAGCATTTACTTTAAATAGCCTATTCACCAATTTATGATTGTGTGTGAGAGTGAGTGTGCGTGCGAGCGTGCATGCGTGGTCGTTAATGATTACGTGCGTCGTTAATATTTACATTAGCAGCGATTTGCTCACATTATTGCATTTATGAGACCATGTACTTAAAATGATTTTGTGTAATGTTTCTCAAAAACTCAAATATTTTCTGTAAAAATGAGCTCAAAATTCTGCATTTTCAAAAATGTTTAAACAATTTTCTAAAAAAATAAAATAAAAAAAAGCTCCAAATGTATTTTCAAAATTTTCATTTAAATAGTGCTAATTGCACTGCTTAATACGACATAAAATTCATTTTGATGTATTTTTGTGTTTTTCGAACACTACACAAATTTATTTATTTAAATATCTCTTACATCGTTAATATGCACATTCCCAGCGATTTATTAACATTTTCCATTTGTGAGTTGAAGTGCTTGAAATAGTGTTTCTCGAAAACTAAAAAGTTAACTGTGAAAAAGAGCTTCAAATTTCACAATTACAGTGACGCTTAAACGCAATTTTCTTTAAAACGACTCCAAATTTTTCAAGAAAAATTGCCATACAAAATGAGGTTTTACTATTCTTTAATATCCTTTAAGTATTGTAAAACTGCTGTAAAACTCTGCCACCGAGCGAAAGCTCATTAGCAGAAAAATATTATTATTATTATTATTATTATTATTATTATTATTATTATTATTATTATTTCGATACTACCATCAGGAAACCGAAAAATTGTGATTTTTTAAAAAAATAAATGTACATTGGGTGGCGATAGGTGCCAGCTGACAAGAGTATGTGTCAAGGCCGAAACGCTAGCCCAGACTAAAGAAATTAGAAAACTAATACGAGAAAGTCTGAGCCAAACTGTAGCACCTTTGCAGTCCTTTCACATTTCCGTTTTCCGCGCCGTGCGGTCCTACGTCCCGCAGCACGGTACATTGTCTTTTCCTGTCTCTGGACCTAGGTCCCGTGGGGTGGGACTTATTTTTAACAGTGCGTTATTTCACTCAGGGTGATGACACCGGATACCAGTAAAACTAATTCTCTTTAAGAGAGGGTAGGCAGTAATTTTCATTGTCGCCAGATTTCGGCCATTTTTGTTTTGTTTGCCAAACAGCAATTTACATTCTCAACGTTTTACCGCTACTTAAACTGGATTTCAGCCACAAGGACGTTCCAACATTGCCAAATGAAGCATTTCAGCTTTTTTCATGGATAAGTTGATAAAAGCAATTGTTGATGAATGGAATAGATACGCAAGTGAAAAGTTAGCATATAAGCCGCTTCAAAAAGACTCTGGAACTCGTGAACACCAGTATCCGTTGAAGAAACGAAAGCATATCTAGGTGTTATATTAAATATGGCATTAAATCCAAAACCATGCACCAAATATTATTTCTCCAAAAGATGGATTACTTATATGCAATTTTGCCGATGCTTTTAATCGCACTAGATTTTATCAAATTAATTTCATGTTGCATGTCCTCCTCCCAAAAACAGAACAGATACAAAGGAAAGAAGAAGTAAAGTAAGAAACATTGTGGCGTACTTGAAAGTGAACATTTAGAACATTTTGTTCTTATTTTTGACGTTGCCGACGATGAAAGCACTATTTCACTCGAAGCCCGTGTTGTATTTAGAAATGTACAATCCGCAAAAACCTGTAATATGGGGAATACCAGTATTCGTACTGATTGTAATACAGGCTATGTGTCCTGCTTCAAACCGTATTAGGATCAGGCTACAACTTTGAATCTCGACAGGCAAGATTTATCATTCCTGCAAAGAATTGTGCTTCATCTATGTAAACTATTGCAGTCTGAAATGTGTTATTTTCCATGTAATTAAGGACAGATACAGCAAAAGCAAGTTGCAATTTAGCCATTGAACTACTTCATATAAAGTGCGATCTCACGGGAACATTCAATAGAAACAGTAGGCATACCCGCTGACATTAAGAAAATAAATGTTCAGGAACACCACGATACTGCTTATTCTAAGGATGGAGTCATGGTTTTGTCGCGGAAAGATAAGAGAATTTTGTTGTCAACATGGCATGATGCCAGCATGCGGACGGACGGAAAGATAGACGAACTGACTGACGGACGGACGGACCGACAGACGGAGTGACTGACGGACGGATTGACACAGACGGGCTGACAGGCGTTTTAACTTTAATCGACTTTTCTGTATCAAGGGCTCACAAAACATGGTATTAGGCGGTCAAATTAATTGAAACGTGACGCCATACTGGGGATTCAATCATTGACAACCATTCTTTGGCGCTAATTAACCGCTAAAAACAGTAGTCAGAGCGAACCGCGCCGGAGACAACATTTTCGCCCCAAGAATTCTCGCGCTATCCGGAGACGGCGCGTTCGTTGGTGGGTGCCGACGTTTCGCCGACATTTCGCAGGCTTCCTCAGGGTAGTGACACTGGCGGGCGCTACGCGCCCGTTGATTAACCGTCGTTTTAAATCAACGGCGCGTAGCGCCGCAAGTGTTCATGCCTGAGGAACCTGCGGACATGTCGGCGAAACTCGGCAACCAGCCAACGACGCAGGCGTCCCCGGATAGCCGAGAATTCATGGATTCGAGCCGCGGAAGCTTACGTACACATTTTCGCCCCAAATCGCCCGCTAACTTCCAGAAGAAATGAATGGAACCTCTTTGGAATGCATGTCTTAAAACGGCTTTCGAAGATGACCGGATGATCACACCACTTCCTAGCCTGCCACTGAAGCAGCTTTGCATATTGTAGTAATTTCTCGGAATCCAATTTTTTCCTCATAAGACGCGACGAGATCGATCGCAGTGTTTGAGAATATGGAGTCGAACAGGTTCTTGGCGACCTGCCTAGCTCATGTATAGAAGCTAGGCAAAACGCGAGTGTCGACTGCACACTGAAAGTTGTATTATTACGTCCAGTTGGTATTACTGTTCCAAAGCGGGTTTACGCGCAAGCCGCATGCAAATCTCAACACGCACTCAATTACAAGCTGTCAGGAGTACGCTTTTAGTTCGTCAGACACTGGTAACATTAGCACTTTTCTTCATTCAACACTATGTTTCTTACGCTGTTAATTCTGTCGATATATTTGAACATATTCAGTGTCAACGCGTAAACAGACATTTTAGCGGATGCCAAGCAGAATTCCTTTAGAAAAGCTCTTCCAATATTTGGATCACGCGCACCCCCCCCCCACACACACACACACACATACACATTTTCGTTAACAGAGACGCGTTTGTCTTCCGAAAATTCGCCTTTGTTTCGCGCAGCATTCCATTACTTTCTCTGTACCGCGGGAGCGAGAAAGTAAAAATTGAATTGGCCCGTTCAGACTGACCCACCTCAGACGAAGGAAACTTCCTTGGCTCAGACATGAAGAACCCTTACTCGCCGAACAGAATTAGGAACGCATCAACATTTCCAGAAGCACTGGAAACACCGAATGAGGATGCAGAAAGGGTACAAAATGTCAGTGGTCAAGTCATTGCTCGAATAATTCCGTGATTATTTTGAATACGAGATTTAGCCCGAGAGCGATAAGTACAGGAACGAACACCCCAACGATGACAGACAGTGATCAAGTGCAGACCGCCTGTAAGGCAGACGATGACAGACCGTGATCAAGTGCAGACCACCCGTAAGGCACACGATGACAGACCGTGATCAAGTGCAGATCGCCCGTAAGAATGACGTTAATCGCGACATCAAGATAGGGAATATATTTTTTCTGTAAGTCCTGCTTACGTATTAGTCGCTAGCGTTGTTCACTTGCAGAATAATCCCAGTTTTTTCGATGCACATTATAGAACTTTCTCTATCATACATATGTAGTATGCAAAAATGTTAAACAGGTACATTGGAATTGAAATCATCTGATGTGTCTTTCACAAACTTAAATACATATATTACTACACAAGTGTTTTACAAAATCACTGTCTACTGGAGCACTTGAATCTATTCACATGATACCAATGCCTTTTTATCCTCCAAAAGGTAGATGGTGACAGAGGACTGTATACATTACATTTGCAATGACTCATATTTCATGCAGAAATAGCCATGAAGAACAAAGATAAGCCATTCTGTAAATGGTTTTGTTAATCTAAAAAAGGTATTGTTTATAATGCTGGTATACAAAAATATTTTTACACCATGACCTACATGACTTATCACACAGATTTCATAAATAATGTAATCTACGAGAATGTTTAATACTTCACACAAAATAATCCCAAAAAGTTAATAACAAAAAGGAATAGTAGCATGTTTAAATGTAACATTTAAAATTTCATATTTGATTCAGGAAGTAAAAGTGTAGCACTTCAATGAAGAAATGACGACCTCCATAACTAGCACACATACAATAGTGATGTTGAATCCCTTCAGGAACTGGTGGCATTATATATCATATTAAATGCATAACTGATGAAAATATATGAACATTAGTTATGCAGAAGTATATATAAGAGTTTCCAACACTATATCAATAATAACTTTCAAAGGCTTTACATATAATGAACAGGTTCACATTACGAGGTTAAGAAAGTGAACTGTTTTATTTACTTTAATAGATGGAAAAATATCTCCCCATTGATAAGTTACAGTTATTGTAATATAAACTGGTAAATTCCAATACATGTTCGGCATATACTTTCACTTCACATTATACAAAAACCCCAAGAAAAAGTATCCTAGACAGAAAGGATGGTCGAAAGAAGATAAGTTTTATCAAAGAAATCAACATCAATTCAGATGTATAATAACCATAAACTTAAGTACCGCAATTAGAAAGAAGTCAGTTCTACGAATGTGTAACAATTTGTATTCAATCATGTTCAATATCACACTCACTTTTTTGAAATGTTTGTCATTTTTGTATTTATCTATGTATCTTAATACTGTTATTGTATTCATGCAGTTTATGAACTTTATAATACTGTTATTTACTGATTATTATTGTATAGTTGCTAATCATCTATCACCGAGTTCATTAAACTCTTCAAAGACTGAACAAAAATGTTCAGTCATAATTGTATTACTCCTTTTGATATGATCCAAATGAGAATGTGGTACATGTACAAAAATATATAATTTTAACAAATAAATACTCACCTAAAAAGAAATATACCAATCCAGCAATTATGATGATGAGTAGTGCTATGATTTTGGTGAACATGAACATGTTCTGCATTCGTGTAGTCTTCCTTACATCATAACAATTCATGAAGGTCAAGAAACCTGCAAATCATTTATAAATTACAGGTTTGTAGATAAAGGGCAGAGTCGAAACAAAAAATAAAGATGGCTTATAATTACAATGATCAGGAAAAACTGAACTGAGTGACAGTGCACCTGGAGTAAAGAAATATGAAGGTGATGGCAACCTAATATTTAAAACTCAAGAGGTCTTAGTATGCATTTAAAAAAATACTTGCATATGGTTACAGCAGCTATCATCCGTGCAGCACTGTCTGGAAGATCACAACTGGGGAAGAATGGCTGTATCACGTACTTTGCAAATGTGAGACCCATTATAGCATTTGTAGTAGGTCTGAAAAACAAATCACATTGAAAGTCTGTTGAAGAAATCAAGTTATATAAATAAATATCAATTTGTTAACATAATTGTCACCATCCTGCCACCTTGTTGGACACAATTATACTCTGAGAATATATTTCGCAATTGTAAATAAATCCAAATTGTGACCACTATACTGAGTAACAATATATTTTAATAATTAAATTTGTTCAAAGTTTTGGTTGACCCAATCGCGACTCGAACCTGGGCCTTCTGTATTACACCCAGCTGCTCTAACCACTAAGCTACAAAGACAACCAATCCTTTGAACAGTTTTCAAATATTGAAATTTTTGTCATACTAAAAACTCAGATATAACAAAGCTTAATTCAAACAAATCGCCTCTCATGCTTATCTGCATTTATTTCCATTGTCAGGAAAAACAGTGATTTCTTACTTTTAGAAAGGAAATGAACATTAAAAAAAAATTAAATGCAACAGTATTTACAGAACACAATACAGAAAAGCAAAAATAATTTTACACAAGCCTACCTTGATTATATTTTAAGTGAGCTTTCAATTTTTTAATAACATAAACAGAGATTAGAACATCTTAAAAGTATAGACGTGTGTGTGTTAGTTCTGAGTTAAAAATTATTACCTTCCTTCAATCTATTTCCTTTCATAAAAATATTATCTTCATACAATCATCATGACCGAGAACAATGGGACGATTTCGAACAATTTTGAAACCTCTGTGTTGCTATTTTCTGAACTGGCGATGACTGACACGAAGAGCGCGAAATTCGAATTTACAATTCGGATTTTCGAAATTCTAAGATATTTTAATTGCTCCCAGACGATCCAGAGGAATGTATGAACTCTTGCAAGGACTTGTCACTCGATTTGAATGAAGCGCGTTGAGCGCGCGGTGTTGCCGAGATGCGCGTCACTGTCCCGGCCCTCTACAAAGCGCGCGAACGTCTCCCTTTGAACTGATTTAGGCTTATAATTTTGCACAATTCTCCCATTTGAAACGGTAGATTTCCTTCCAATTGCGCATGTTGATTCTTCGAGATGCCAAAAGTAAAGATTTTAAAAGCATGTTCAACAGTTCATTTTCTCACAATTTTAAAATTTCAGGTCACATCTCTCGGGTCACCATAAGAGCCCACGTTAAAACACTTCACGGTCTCGTTACGCAAAAACTAGACGGTGAAATCGATTCAAACTGTACCAGAACACAGAACATTACATTCTTTGAAGAGCTAATTTTGTACGACAGATGATCTGATGCAAAAATCTCTATCTTCAATTTTGAAGGTTTGAAAAGTTTTTTGCATATTTTCGAAATAAACCAGCAATACCCGAAAATAAGACAAGCGCCATACTTTAGCGTTTCTTATTACAAATACTTAAAAAATAATATGGAGATATTTAAAGAAAAACTGGAACGGTTTTTGAGAGTTTTTGTTGTAAATTTCAATCGCAAAATACGCAATAACTACGTTTTTTCAAAAATTCTGTACGTGACCTTTTTTGTAGAGATAATTTTGAAAATTTTGAACAGATTGGAAGAGAAATCTAATCTCCAATTTTAAAATTTTAATTTTCCCCCCAATTTTAAAAAAATCGAGTCAACGAAAATTGAGTCCTACACCATTCTCTTAAATGTTCTTTGCACAATTTAACAACAAAATATAATCAAAAAATTTGGAGCTATTCATTGAAAATGTTCCAGAGGATTCATGTAAAATACCTTAAAATTGAAATTTCGGTTTCAAATTCCAGAATCCGCCACATGCAGCAAGGACCATTGGGGTTTATAAATTTTGGAGAAAATTGGCTGAAAGGTTTGGCCACTAGGGTTTTTCACAGACGGACGAAAGAAGTTAATCGATGTGTTAAGAACCCACAAAACATGGATTCTGACTACACCTCCTCAGATATTTTTTCAAAATTTAGCAACTGGATTTATCCAGGTTTTCGTTACCAAAGCCCTGTAATTATTTTCTCTGCCGAAAATTACCCGGTTTTTCCAGAATATTGCATAACTCTCTCCAGTGCGCAAGCGATAGCGAGAAAGTAACAATAAATGTCAATTTTCATTCAAACTGTTTTCAGTTGTTTCATTTCAAGATTATTTAATATACAATGTTATGCCAATGTTGCAACATTTTGTTGTCCATTTTCCATCAATTAGTTGTTAGAAAAATTTATCATTTTTTTTTGTCTTTTCTAGTCTAACATTTGAATAAATGAAAAATATTATTTCAATGGGTTAATCATGTAATTTACAAAGTAATTATTTGAATTATTGCTGTAAATTAATGTAATTGGACTTAATGTGGTGTATTTGTTTATATTCTAAGCGTTGCAATACATTAAAAAATTGTTGGCATTCTTTGCATATTATATTATCATTGTCATTTTGTGTCATTAGAGAATTCATGTTCTTCAGCTTAATTTTCAATGCATTTAGTCATGGCTTTTCAAAATATACTCTGTATTTTAAGATGTTAGGGTGGTAGAATCTGAATACATATATTGTAAATAAACCAATATTAGATTAATAATAAAAATATTAAATTATTTTCATACATAGTTTGTCAACTGGTTTGTTTCATAGCATACAAGTCATCCATAAATTATGTAGCGCTAAAGAGAAGGGTTAGGGGGTTTGAGACAGTGTCGAATTACATAGTGTTACACACAGGTAGGGGAATACAAATATTGTTACAATAAATGGAAATATTTTTTCAACAATATTTTATGAAAACTGGAAGACTATGAAGAAAATATTAAAAACTGATACATAATATATTCTAGTATCCATTTAAATTGGTGAAGTAGACTCACTCGTGTGTCAACCACGACTGTGTGTAGCATAGCTTGTAATTTTTTATTAGGAAGGGGGGGTGGGTGCAAATTATAAAATGCAAATAAATAATTATTTAGGAGGGGGGGGGGTGCAAGCGCGTTTCACAGGTATGTTACTGCTGGAGATGGGGTAATCAAAATAGTCCAAATTTGCATTACATAATTTATGGACGACCCCATATTATTCATTAAATCTGCGTTGATGAAATAACTTAATAATTACTGGTATTTGTATGTTATAATTATTTTTAATAGTTTGTCATTTGTGTGTATTACATTATAACAACTATAATTACAATTACTGTTGGAATTTTCTGTTCTTCAATTTAATTATCATTAGCTGTAATCATAGCCTTTTATGTAAGTACAGTTGGTACCAGTTTAAGAATTTAAGAAAAGACTTCAGATTTCTGTATAAAATTAGGTTCTTGTGCTCTGTCTCTGATTTACATATTAACACAGTTCTGGTTATATCATTAGCCCTGAAGATGGAACTAAGTACCCCAAAACATCAGCAAACTTTCAGGAGTTAATGTGCAATGAAGTATATATTTTCAATTATATGTAGTATATTTTCAATAATTATGCAAAAGTTTACTCATTCAAATAGGAGTTGTCTTCTACAGATGTCAACATGATTAGTAAATCAACTGGTAAATCTTAAAGCTGTTGTTCTTGAATTCTTTTCTTCTGTTCTTTCATAGTTTTTTGTAGAGATTGTTAGCAATTAAAAAAACTTGCCAGCCCCGTATTTTAAAATTTTTTATACATGCAATAACAATAATTTGACTGACTAAAGTGATAAAGAGGTATTTTTGGAATATTAAATGCAAATTTCGTTCTCAATTTTACTAGATTTCTTCAGTGTACAAGACTTCCATATGGTCCAAAACAAAACTAAGCAACATTAGAATGGCAAGTATTCCCAAACATTTGGAGGGCAATTGATTTGCAATTAATTACTGCACTGTTACAGTTGGCATGGAATAAACTACAAAAATCCTAGTCATTTAGGCACAACATTGTCATGTGTGATAATTTGTATTGTAAGCAAGCATGCTATTCATCAAGGCTTCTTGTACACATTCCTTCAACAACTTGTATCACATACTCTCTTGGAAAAAATGTATTTATTTTTGCAATTGGGTTCTATGTGATAGTTGTAATCGTTTTTGAACTCTTTTTCAAGTTCACTTATTATAAAATGAGAATTGCTAAAATAGTAAGGTGACAGGAGAAATTAAAATTCGCAATGAATACTACTTACACAAAAATTAGCATTGCATCCCACAAATACAAAAAAGCTGGAAGCGGTCCAAAAGCCTCAAATATATATGCATAATCTCCACCACTTCGAGGTATTGATGTCCCAAGTTCAGCATAACATAATGCTCCAATCATGGATAAAATTCCACATAGGACCCACACAACAAGTGACAAACCCACCGACTTAACTTCTTGAATTACACCTTTAGGCGAGATAAAAATACCTGCACACCAAAAAAAATCACATAGCATATTATTCAATGAGAAAATTACCACTTCATGTCAAAAAATGAAAATGAGATCAATATCACTTCCAGATACACACCAGATCCAAAGATGATTCCCAGGATGATGGCAACTCCCTCCAAGAGTCCTAGTTGTTTCTTCATCCGCACCTTTTCATTTTCCACCTCTTTCTCTCCAACAACACTAATACCTTCCATCTCCATAGGAGAATTTAACATTGGAGTATCTGTCATTTTTATAGTTATTATTAATTTTTAATAAAACTGAAAAGAAAGGAGTATGATTCAGACTTGTAGCCTTCTTTTAATAATTAAAATTAGAACGTGAAAATAACACTTACATTCATGAAAAAGACAGTTAAATTTTAATTACAACTTAAATAGTTTTAACCCAAATTCTTAATAGACTAAATAATCGAAACTAAGCGAAAGAATAAAATCATCCAACTTACGAAAGCAGCAAAGGCGTATCAAATGTTGGTATGTTCATATAAAAATTACTGTGAATATGAAACGCAGCCGTGCTGTTGAAGGGTAACTTTGTAATTATAAAATATCTTCAAACAAAATATTTTTATCAATCAGTACAACAAAAAACATTCGACCGTACAAAACACTATTTCAAAATTTTTATTACCGTGTAAAAAATTCTGCCTGTTACATCAGATTCACACAAACCACATGGCAAGACACCGCACTCTGGAGCGCACGCGCCCATGCACTGAATTCATTGGCACTACAAAACCTGAATTCCAGTTCTACTCCAATTCTCAGCGAATGTTACTTTCTCAAGGGAACTGACAAAAACGAAGAACCGCAATCTTGCTTTCTTTGGTGCCCACGTGGGATGAGCGCATGAGCGGTAGCTCTCAGAAATTAGGATTCGGGAAGTTGGAGAAATATTGGTTAGGATTAAGTAGGGACAATTTCAATACGGGTTTTCGACTCGAACTCATCTTATAAATGATATTAACTTTTTACAATTGAGCGAATGATCAACTGCCACTTATCCACTTTACTTTCATCACTACAATTCTATTGTCAATGACCGCTTCCAATTCATGTACCACGGCTTCATAACGATGGAGGGGAACTTCCACTATACGAGCCAATCCCAAACACGGAATTCAGTATTAAAAAAAATAACACGGAAAGCATTTATTCCATTACTCCGAAAACTTTTCTGTTCTGTTCAATGCAGGTTCGTTCCAATTAGGTACCCACGAGACTGTTTCTAATTTTGCAATTGCGAGGAAGGTATTCTCAATCGACTGAATAACACAGTAGGTTTCAGAAAAGAAGACAACAAAATCTTAGTTCTATTTTCAAAATGAGATTGGTAACATTGTCAGTTAGTTCTATCGCTAATAGAGAGCACTACATTTGCAATCAATACAGAACAATATTCTTTGGTCAATGGCACTATAAAGTTTCATACAGTCTTCACGGATATGGTCATAGCCAATACTGGTGGACGGCTTTCATTGGAAACATTTTTTGGGAATAGTACCAAATGCACAGTAGTGTATCTATAGTGAATTTGGTGGAACGTACGAACAGTTCTCATATCTCAGCCGAATTTTAGTTCTCGTCCCTGTCGTTCAAAGCGCTACCAGTTAAAACTCAGGTTCGTTCAAGTTTATCCATCATTTATTCTTCTGTGGGTTTATACAAGGCACGAGAGAGTATGCATGTAGAGATGTCCAGAATGACGTCACGTCTGGCGGGAAAGTTTTTGATGGCAACCTCTGCTGTGCGCGTAAGCGATTCCTAGAGATTACTAAAGGCTGATTTTACACGTTGCCAATACTGGCGTGCCAATTCCGGGTTTGCCAACACCTAGCCCTGTCGCTGTGTGACTGGCAATAGCTGTTAACACCAATGTGTAAACTGTGCTACAGTAGGATGTATGTAACCATGCACTTGACGTAAATCAGCTGTTCACCAAATTGAGAGCTAGAGCGTCCCAAACGTCTCTGTAGCGACATATAAGCTCCCGATTGGATGAAACCGCAACAACTGACGCACAAGTGCACGACTAAATAAATTGTACTATAGTAATGGCATGCAAGTCGAGATATTTTTCTCTTCGCTCTTAGCTTATGAATGCTCTTTGCGACGTGCTGCTTATCAGCATACAGCATACAATCGTATTCGGCGCGCACGTAACTGCAGAGCAAATGCTCCGTGAACTTTTTATCTCATTCACTTAATATACCTTGGAAAAGTTATCTATCCCTATTTTATTTGAAATTACCAGAAATGCGGCATTTCTGGTTTCGCGGTTGTTGCATTCTGGTAAAAAAAATCTCACAAATTTTCCGATTCTGTATATAACCGGCCAAAATTGTTAGTTTGTTCTTCCGTTATTCAAGAAGGCTTCTACTTCCCAGTCATTTTTGTAAATAATTAGGATAATTACCTTCCGTTTCGTTCAAGTATAAAGCAGTATACACGTGTTGATAGTCGGGAGGTCGCCGTGGCGGGGGAGCACGTAAGCCAGTAATGCCAGTAAACCAAATTCGGTATCCTTGTTCAGCTGGCATCGTCAGAGACGGGCACGAAGGTCTTGCCAATCACTTGCAACAAGGCGGTTTCACCTTGCCATTTACTGGCAAGTGTAAATCATCCGTAAGTTTTATGCTGTATTATGCAGTTGCCAACGTACATGTGTCTGATAAAAAATATCCCACAAATTTTTCCGATTTTGTATGTAACTGAATGTATCACTAGAGTCCGAAAGTTTGGAAAATACCTTTTTGTTATTATTACTATTTCATGACTTTTGACAATATAAATCACTAAATTGTACATTCGGAGTTGTTTTAGTAATTTTCATTTTGCCAATTTTTTTCCCTTTTCTGCATTTTAAGTCAATATTTTGCTTTTTTCCTCTCCTGACACCAATCTTAATCAAGCTGGATATATACCAGCAAGCCTGGACAACTCGAAGGCACGTTCATATTTTGTTTTTCTGGAAGCAGAGACTCTGTTAAAAATGTAAATGAAAAAAGCAAGATGATACCAGTCGAGATTTCAGATTTTTTCATTGACGCCGACAGGCTATGTTCGCTCACAAGAAATACCATCTTAGTTATGGCCTTACTTAATGATGGCCTCCGATTCCTTCTGAGGATAGCTACCCGAGTAATTTTATTGTATTTATTTTTTATTTGTTGAGACTGTATCGACGCAACGCGTCTCCAAACTCTTAAGGAGCGTTGAGTGTACTGAAGACTCCGTTAATAAGAGCCCTTTACGGGCCACTGTGTTGTCAAGTCACGTCAGTCATAGTCAAGACAGAGAATCGCCGACAGATAGCGCCTCGCACACGCCCTGTCATCTACCCATCGGCCAGAATTGGGAAGGAATAAGGATAGGGGTAAGGTTTAGGACGCTTCACAGGGGGTTGAACTAGCCCTGCGAATCATGCAAACTCGTTTCCAGTGCTGCCGATTACACATGTGCGGAGTATGAAACATATAATTCCGGTTTCCCTGATGTCATTTCAAGATTCAAAAGGGAGCCCACAATATCATTTTGAAGAGAAAGAGCGTCGAGAATAAACCCAATTCGTAGCCATCATGCCTTTGGCCATGTGAAATCGACATTTAAAAAAAAATTCTTATATGTTAAGTATTAATGTAAATTTTAATTAGAATAAAAATTAAAATAATTTTAATTATTACTTGACAATAATTCCTTTTAAATGTGATTTTTCATCGTTTATTTTACCATTGCACCCCTACTTTAGCTAGAATAAATGCCTTTTTCATGCCTAATAAAAAGAAATCCCCTTTTGCGTCCCAATTTTAGGTAAAATAAATGCCTGAACTTTCGGGTTCTACTCGTCACATTTGTTATTTACAGTGATAGTTGCATTCTTTCGGTTTCTCTAGGTTCTGGCTGCGAATTTCGACGGCAAATTGAATTTAAGAAAAGCACTATTTTATCAACACATGTCAAGTCGCTAACTTTTCTTTTTGAGAACGGTTCGAAGTAAATATTATGACCTTAGCGATAATGCTAAGGTGCTAATCTATAATAAAACGAAATGTATAGCGCCACTATTTGGATCCAGGTGCCCTTTTATCGGATGTGAAACGTACCAACGATTTTTGGACCCCTGCTATTCGAGTTGAAGTGACTCCTTCCGCGGGAAATTGTAACGTAACAATCTGTGCTGTGTGCGATTCCTAGAGAAGTTATACAAATGCTGTAAAAGTACAATACTGTTATACAAAAAAAATATAGTATGCAACTCGATTATAATGTTGCTTTATTACATTCGTACAAATTTGAAAACTCGCACCTCAAGTTGCTCGTTTTCAAAGCATGTACTCATGCAATAAAGCTTAACATTATGCACTAATTGCATAAACTACTATTGTATAACTGCATTATACATTTACAAGAGAATCAAACTTAAATTTTGCGAAACAACTTCCCTGTGACGACTCGGGTATTTGACATCGCGCGAGTAAACTATAGTCGGCTGTTCCGTTTAGCTCTACCTCCCACCAATTCTCTCGCTACGATTGGCTAAATGTGTGAAGCACGTAATCATTCGTGACATAAAATCTAATACGTCATCATTTGGACCGTAAAATAACCGATTATGAACGATTTCTTGCAACAGAAAAGGTTCTTTTATAATGCTAAAAAAACAACACCATTACAGATCTCATGCGCTGTTTGTAAAAAGTTTGTCGCGATATGAGAAATATTATTTCTGTAAAGTTGATTAATACATCCCATCCTTTAAATTGAAACGTGTGTATTACTTATATTCCCGAACCTACAAATATTAACATTTTTTAAGTTTCTTGCAGTAAGTACCAGAAATTGAAAATAGTGCCATAAAGCATTGGTGATAAACTTAATTTGAACCGTTGGTGGAGAATCTTTTGTTTTGTTACAGATTGCCTTGAAACTGAAATGTTATTTGCTAGCTAGAGGTGGAGATAATAATCTACATATTGAAAATTTAGTTCAATTGTGTATTCCTACCAGTTATTTTCGAATGAATGTAAGTTCTCAAAATTCATTTCTAGGTCTTGTTTGGTAAAAAAAATACTGAGAAAAGTATTGTACAGGCATATTAATTTTAAGTTCATATTTATTACTTAAAAGGAATTGAAGAATGGCCGATATTGGTTTTTTTTCCATATCCATTTTTACTTTCTCGTATACGTAAGTATATATGTAGTATAGATAAAGTAATGTTAAGTAGCACAAAATCGATTGAGATGTCAATGAAACTACAGGTTTTGAAGTCCCTTAATATTGATTTTTTTTATTTTTTATAATTATGTTTTTTTTTAACATGCGTTCATCTGAGACCCAGAACTAAACCTAAACTACCCATAGGATTTTTCACAAAATTAATATTTCACGTTGAATCTGGCTCGATTTGAAGCACTGCGATTTTCTGCGAACATTCTTTAACTTTGGCTGTTTTTTTGTTTTGGCGCCACGGACATTTCAACATTTTCTCAAAATTTTTTTCTTTAAATTCTTTGTAAGAATAGAATGAAATACTCTCAAAGATGTCATAGGTCCGATTTGCACTGTTATCTCTAAAAGCACGAAAATTGCAAAAGTTTAAATCCTTCTTGGAGTCTTCCTACAATTACAATATAGAAGATAGATTTTCTCGAACGGAATTTGTTCTCGACAAGTAGTTCTTGCATTGTCATGACTAGGAGGTGGAGTTTGATGACGTACATCTTCAAAAATGATCAAAAAATGTTTTAAAAATAAAAATGTAATCAAAACCAGTTCGGATGAACGTCTCAAGCCGTGGGGTATGTTAGATGTAATCGAGGCATCTATTCGTTCAAGTGAACTGAGCTTGTAAATTTTTGGTTTGCACGGTTCTTTACCAGAAAATCTGTTTAGTTAAGAAATAGGCTGAACCAAGGCGCTGATAGTCGTCACAGAAACCTTGGATTAATACTCTCAATGGTTGATATTACAACTTCTGAGCGAAGAAATTAAATAGGGTACCAGGTATATATTGTCAGGAATTCTGTGGAGAACATTTGTTGCATCTCGTAAATATCATTTGAAGCAAGCACCACTAAAATTGATATCAGCGAAAAATGCATTAAAAGTAACGGGAAAAGGTAAAAAAGGACTTTTGTCAAAATCGACAGAAAATGCAAAATGTATAAAAATGGCTAACTGTAAAAGATTACATAAACGCTATTTTGCTGTAGTTTTATAAAAAAATTAGACAAATGTATTTTTTTTTCAATCTCTCACACCGTTAATACAATAAAACCTAAGCCGGAATCGATCGGAACAAAGAAACCAATAAATGAATATTAAAAACTCTTCATTGGCAGTTTCTGAGTTTCTCTTGCTTCCATATGTTTGGCCTTTTCATCTAATAATAGTTTTATGGTTTTTCGCATCGTTAGGCTGATTGTGAAACTCCTAAAAATACACACCACCTCACTGCCTAATGGCTGCAATCGGACTGCTTGCTGACTCTTTCAACGTACAGCCCAGAGTACTATGATTTTTTGATTTCCTCGCATGGCCTTGAGCAATGAGACTCTGGCCGAGGGGTTACAATTTTCAAAGTAGGGCAGGGAGAAGCGCGAATGGAATACATGCCGGAACACCTCCCCACGCTCAGAGGTGGGGGGATTCCCCTACGGCTTTCGCCTTGTGACCGAAAAGGTCGAATTCACTGCTGCCAACTGAAGTCCCTGCCTTTCAAAGTGCGGTTGTCACAACGAAACTGCGTGGGTCAGAATTTAAAACAGACTTGCGGATGCATTCATTACATTAAGAATATCTCGCGTCTCTGCCCATTGCAATAAATTCATAAGAATTCCATTTAATATTCTCCCCTCTAGGACATGAAAACCCTGTCTGTTTTATGCTGTATAAAATACTATATAAACATCACGGGCCAGAGAAATTGTCCGAAGTAATAGTTAAGGCAGATTTCTGGCTTGCACAGGTTCCGTTTTAGACATATTATACTGTATTTACATTAACGGCGAATTGTAAACATTATTGCATTTGCCTGAACAAGTGCTTCGCTTCAAGCGATGCTATTAAATTTCCCGAGAACTCAAGTGTTCTGTAGTAATAAGCTCGAAGTTCCACATTTTTAGAAACGCTCTAACGTCATCTTACCGAAGTCTCATGGAAATAGTTTTGAGGAAAGGGAAGAAAATTTGCTTTCAAAATTAGAAAGGTTCGAAGCCAACTAATTTAGCACTACAATATCGCCACTCCCCATTGCGGGATTAGCTGACACTATCGAGATTGTAACTTTTGGTTAATACTGTAGATCACAATCCGTCACGTTTGGCATCACAGTCGTGACCGGACTTCATTCTTAACCTCTGACAAGTCATGGACTTTTTTTTATAATTAGTTACGTCGACTGACGCAATGCGTCTCCAAGCCTAGGGAGTAATCCTTTATTAACAGTATGCCATTATACGTCACGTCTCGTCGCAGTCAGTTGTCAAGAGGACCGCCAGGTAGCATCTCCGCTTACGCGCTTCATCCCACACGCTCCTGCGTCACTACCCAGCGTCCGGAATTGGGAAGTAGGATAAGGTAGGGTTTAGGACCTTTCAGAGGGGTTGGACTATCCCTTGAGAAACAGCCAAACTTTTTGTTGGAACAAATTTCACACAAAATTGTGCGGGCGAATCGAACCCAGACCTCCTTGGTGAAGGGCGAGCGACTTCGCTCTGAGCCTGGAAATGATAGTTTATTTTTCAACGAGCGTAGAATGATAGCTGTTATTCACGAGATTGTTGTTTACGACAAAAGCGACATAGGAGCAAGTGTGTTAATTTTTACTAGTGAATGAAGTTCATTCTACGACAGACTACACTTTCTCTATTACATTGAAATTGATGTTTTAAAATCACTAAATGAAAAAATTTAGGAAAGTTTAAAAAAAAAAAAATGTTACATAAATTGTACGTTTTACTTCATTACTTAAATATTTATAACATCAACTACAAACTAGTATTATAAACATAAATAGTCGAGATTTACTTTGTGGAAAAAATAATGTGAAATTAGAACAAATAGTAATATTAATTGCAGGGGTCATTTCTTGATTTGAGCTGATTTCATTTAAAATAGAATTACTACTACAAGATGTTTCTTATAGACGAATATTTTGAATGATAGCTGTATTATGATCCACTGATTGCAGTAGAGTATTTGTGGTATAATAATTTGTTTGGAATAGAAACATACACATAACCTTTCGCTACCATATAACATTCCTAACAATCACCAACTAGCATACTGTTTCATGGTTCACCTGTCTCGCAACAGTTGCGACCTTCACAGCATGCAGAACTGTAGACGGCTGCGAAAACCCTCCTTCCTGTATAATGAACTAAGACGAATGTGATTGGCCAACTGCTATTATAACATAATAATAATTTCGGACGGCTTGTGAAATCTTCAGTATTGTATCCACTAATGTGAAGAAATGCAACCATTTGAGAGTATTCATAGAGAAAAGAATTTTGAGTACTTCTTTTCATTCTGAAATAACTTTGGAAGAAATACACAAATGAACTGAATTTTTAATATGTACATTCCTATCACAACCTCTAGCTAGATATGCAAATAACATTTCCATTTCAAGACAATGTGTAACAAAACAATTAAAACAATCACCAACAACGATTCTAATGAAGTTTATCACCAACAATTCATTATCATGACACTATTTTCAATTGCTGCTACTAATTACTGCAACTGTAAAAAGTCAAAAACAAATATTATTTTCCAGAACTCTTCAATTTGCATAAAATTCTTCATATCCTCATTGAATGATTCAGTTCCACGTATAAATAGAAGAGTTTTATTCAAAGACCTTTCAGACACTTTTTTCTTAGGAATATTTTATGTAATTCTCCCTTTCATCACACTCACCATAGTAGACATTGTGTGGATTTTCTTGTGAAAATCCAAAATACAAAACAAAAACTACCAAAAGATTCTGCTATAAGAAATTTCATCACACAAAAGTGTTTCTTCATACTTCTTGCAGGAGTACAATAAATGTACAAAAGTTTTCTCAGAGTTAATTTCCACAATTGATTTAATCAATTGCAACATTTAAGGTATTAAGAGTTCCAGCAAAGTTCGTAATTACTTGCTCATTATTCATTCACAGAATATTTCAAATCAAGTGGATTTCACAAATGAACAATTTCACTAATAGTCCAAGATTTCATGAAATTGAACATTTCCCCACTTATACCTTTAATTAACACTTGTAACAAAACAGACTACAGCCAAGTTTATTCTTCCCCATCAAGTGTTGACCAATTTCAATGTTCAGACTAACAAAATGTTTATTTTTCAAGTCAGTTCAGTCTTTTTCAGAAATTTGAAACCTGTGTATTTTAGTATCAATGTTAGAACTGAACTGAACAGATGGTAAATTTAAAACCTTTCTGCATTCTTCCTTTTTAACATAACAACATAGTTTATCGTATTCTGCTAATTTTGTATCATACACACAGAAAACGCATTTCACAGTCGCTTTTGCAGCAGTCACTGTCATCAGGTCTTTCTGGACAGGGAGGCAACACCAAGCCAGAAAAATCACTTGTTCTTATCAAGTGTCCCCAGAAATTCATTCAAAATTAATTGAATCACAGCTGCACAAATGTTTATGGCTCCATATTCATGCTGTTTTCATGGACAGCATTCAAAAGACCATTTTTGAAAGTTCCATCCATACTATTATCAACAGGATCAGTGGTACTTTCCATCTTCTCTTCTTGTTTGGAGTGGTTGTCCCAGTCCACCTGAAACAGAGGACGTATACAGTACAAGAACCTCGTCCTTACGTGTCTGTACGTGTCCGTACGTGTCTACGCGCGAGCGTGTGACGGAGACGCTCGGGAGCCGGCTAGCGACTCCCGGTGCTCCCGAGGAAAGAAACGAAGCTGCCGCGTCACCGTTTCTACGCCAGAGGTCGTGAGCTTTGACATGAATTTATTTCAATTCAGAAAGGTACACATATTTCATTTCTAGTATGTGTTTTCATTAATTGTTCTAGTCTTTAGCTGCTAACATCAGTGCTTTAAATTGAGAAGCGTTCAGGTTAAATAAACTGTAGTAGGCATGCTTTGATGTTGATCAGGTGTGACAGCTAGAAACCTGTTGGCTTGAGACAATCAGTTTTAGATAAAATAATTGGATAGAAAGAGAAAGAAAAGAAAAGAGAAAGGAAGGAAAAGAAAAGAGAAAGGAAAAAAAATAAAAGAGAAAGGAGAGAAAAGAAAAGAGAAAGGAGAGAAAAGAAAAGAGAAAGGAGAGAAAAGAAAAGAGAAAGAAGACTGTTAGTGGTAGTCACTGCTGAATCAAGGTAGTCATTTGATTAACTGTCTAAACTTACCAAAACTAAGAGAAAGGAAAAAATAAATTAAAACAGATTAAACGAACTCATACATATCACTTCAATTTCCAACCATATTTTTTACATTAAACAAGATAATTGACCATACATTACTTACTTTGAAGCGGGTAACACGAGGATTAGTAGCAAGAATATTACGTTGAAGTTTGTCGAACTGAGGTGGTGCTGAAGGTGGCTGGTTTTCTCTCAACTCTGGATCAACATAATCGTTGTTCACGTAATAACCTACACGAATGAACTCTTGTCCTCTGAAACAATTTTTTCGAAGTAACTTTTAATAAACATTTTT